TCCTGACATAGCTGGGTTCCCATAGCAGGGAGAATACGAAACAATGCAGAGCAGGTTGTCACGTAGAACTCATTAAAAGTTAAATTTGGTTTACGGCAGTTATCAGTGGTAGGACTGTAAGTGGTAGGGAGAATAGCTAACCCCAGGGCTGCAGAGAGCCATCGTAAAAAACTAACATTTGCCGGGCAGCGGTGGCGCATGCCTTTAATCTCAGCACTTGGGAGGCATAGCCAGGTGGATCTCTGTGAGTTCGAGGCCAGCCTGGTCTATAGATCGAGATCCAGGACAGGCACCAAAACTACACAGAGAAACCCTGTCTCAAACAAACAAACAAACAAAAAACCTACACCATAAAAGCTAACATTTGGGTTGCTGACAGAGCTGCCCATCTAAAACAAAGAAAGGCCTAGTTAAAGGTTAATCCCTATTTGCTGACAGAGCTGAGAGCTGTTAGCTTCCATCTCTTAAACTTATAACTTTTTATTCCTATATTCCTGGACCCTTCACAAGCATCACACACACACACACACACACACACACACACACACACACAGAGAGAGAGAGAGAGAGAGAGAGAGAGAGAGAGAGAGAGAGAGAGAGAGAGAGAGAGAGAGCATGTTTTAGAGGAATAATGACATTATAATTTGGCCATGATGTGGTAAGTGAACGAAGCAGGATAGAAATGATAGCATATGGTGACTTCATTTTAGTTGACAGCCAGGCCTGATGGCACATACCAGTAATCTCAGCACACTGGAGGCAGAGGCAGGAGAGATACAAGGTCTAAACTAGCTTGGGCTACATATAAAAGCCCTGTCTCAAAAACAAGCAACAACAACATTTAATTAAATTTTAAAATTAGCTGGCAAGGTAATGAGTTTCATTATGGTATTTTTCTATGCGTCACTATATTTTATTCTAATTTATATTCCTCCCTCATTGCCTCCACCCAGTCCTTTTGCTGGTCCCCTTTCTGGTAGACGTTGAGATGAAATGGCAAAGTAGTTTTCATTAGAATTTCCCTAATGGCTAACTGTTCATTTAAAAAAAATTGTTTGTTTGTTTAGAAGCCATATCTTGGGGAGAGTAGAGTACTGAAATCACCCACTATTATTATATCAAGATCCATGTGACCTATGCACATTAGTGTTTGTTTTTTGAAGTTGGAAGCCTCAATATTTATGCATGTGTATTTAGGATTGTTAGAGCCTCTTTATTATTATGTATGTCTTTTCTCTCCTAACTTCATTTGAAATCTGCATCGTCAGGCCGCTATGCCAGTGTGTTTTCAGCTTCCATTCACTTCTGATGCTCAGTGTGTGTCTTTACCACTTTGTTTCTTGATAACACAACTAGATACAGTATTTTAATCCAGCCAGCTATTCCGCATCTCTTTGTTGAAGAGCTGAGGTCACTTACATTTCAGGTTATTATTGAGAGATTTTTAAAAATTAATTCCTATCACTTTTTTTGTTAGTTTAATTGTCATTTGCTCTTTTCTTTATCTTTTATTAGTATTAGAGGTTTGCTGGTTTACTCTGTTGGTCACAGTTGATTCTTTTATTTTCCTTTGTTCATCTATTCCTGTCATGAAATTTGTTTTCTTTTGTGCCCTCAGGATTGAGATTTCTCATCAGCCCTTTTTCTGATGTTTCTATTCTATATTCTCCTGTTTTCAAAATCTCAACTTCCTTGCTGAATTTTTCCTCCATGTTACTGACTTTCTTACCTAGGTCTTAGATGAGGGTCATGTGCTAATTTGTAGCCTCTTTGGGGTCATTGATCATCGTTAGTCTTGAACTTTGGAAATTTTTACCTAGCATTTACCCATTTCCTTTATCTTTTAATTCGGTAACTGAGGAGCTGTGCTCTTTTGGGTTTCTGTGATTAAATTTGCACATCTGTTGTCTGCATCTCTTCAATTTTACTTGGCGATATTTTGATTGAACAGCCTTCTTTGGAGGGCTTAATTCCCTAGGACACGGCAGAGAGGAGAAAGCAAAGTGCTTTGGGATGGGCTTCCCTTCCCTTCCCTTCCCCTCGGCAGAGAACCACATGGCCGAAGCTTGTTCAGTTTAGAGTACTCTGCGCTTTCGCTGCGTCACTATTAGCACCTTCGTGAATTTCCAAAGCTCTTCCTCTTCTCTCTTTGAAATAGTCTATTTTTAGTTATTCTGACTCTGCTTCTCCTGGTCACGTGCAACCACTTTCTTGTCTCCCAAATCACCTGGAACTTACCCGTATTTCTTTTTCAAAGACAAGGTACTACATCTTTACATCTGTTAAGGGTGGTTATCTCTGGGTTGTGATAACATGGCAGTTATTTTCAGTTCCGTCTATGGCTTAGTTCACATTTTCCAGTTGAAGATACAGCTCAGTGGTAAAGCTCTTGCCTAGCATTCGAAAGTCCCTGGGCCCTGTCCCCAGCACTACAAGTAAGTAAGTAAATAAATACATTTTAAATGAAAAAGGTTTTAAGGGCTAGAAATGTGCTTCAGCGGTATTGAGTTTACCTCGTATGCACAAGTCCCCAGATTCAATTGCTAGCACCATAGAAAAATATTTTGAATTTTAAGAACATGAATTACTTGTGAATTCAACAAAAACAAAAGCATTTGAACTGGAACTCACTATGTAGATCAGACTGCCCTTCACTCTTTAGAGATCTGCCTGTCTCTTCCTCCTGAGTGATGGGATTAAAGGCTACACCACCACATCCAGTCCGATACATTATATTTTATCTGAGTGACTGATCTTTTTCTGTTGGTATTTGATTAGGGGAATCTTTTTCGGGGAATCTCTTTGTGGGTAGAAAGCTGTGTAGCTGTGTAATTGCCAGGAATTTTTAGCTGTAACAAAGTGTTCTTCACACTACAAACACACCAGAATCCGTAATAGTCCTTCATCTTGGGACCATGGACCCTTGAAGAAAAGGGTACTTGATGCGTGGAGTCTACAGATGTCTAAATGTGTTATGTGTTTTTCCCATTCTGTAAGTTCTAAAAGTACAGCTACTATTGTGGGTGCGAGTGGGTGAAGTGAGGCTCTTTTTCATCTTAGGAAGGGACCCTTATGTGTAAAATGTTGGGAACCAGTGGAATAGAGTCTAAAAATGGTCACTATTGAATTATCACCACCAGGAATCCAAGATTATGGTTTCTTCTCCTTTGGAGGAAGGTTTGTTTTGGCCACACATTGAAAGAAGTCACCTTTATCATTTGCAAGCATCATCCTTGTTGCTTATCTTCTTGGTGTATACATTTATTAAGCCATCATTTGATTTGTACATCTATTTTTTTGTTCATATATATCCTTTTCAAAGATCATCAGTCCTGATGTGTAAAGCTAAATGTCTCCAGCCTTGCACATTATATAACATTACCCTCACCTCTTACCACACCAAATGTGTTCTTTTTCCTGTATTCCTGCTCTTGCTCTTGGCAAAGTTGCCCACCTAGCTCCCAAATTAGAAATTTTGACTCCTTCTGCTCCCTCACCTTTCACATCCAATTGGCCACGGAGTCCCAAACATTTTCCCCCTTCAATGTACCTCAAAGCTTGCTGTCTGCTCATGTATCCTGCCTACCTATTTATTATATACTAGTTTCTCAGCGTGTTCTTCCCCTGGGAGAATCACCACACAAGGCAAGCAGAGAAAAATCTGGCCATGTCACTCTCCTGCTTAAAATCTTCAGTGCCTCCTTCTTGTCTACAAGAGAAAAGCTAGACTCTTTTGTTTGCCATTCAGGACATGACCCAATCAGGCCCCTATCTTGTTCTTTGCTCACACTACACTTATTTTTATGTGCAGTTTGGAGAATTCTTTTTCGTTTTATCTTTTCTACTTAATGCAATCCCACTTATCTTTCAGGATTCATCTGAAGTACATTTTCTTTAGAGAAATTTTCTTGACACGACCAGGAAGAATTCACCTTGTCCTCATCTATTTCTTCACTCCATCCCATCACTATTTCGAGTATTAATGCATATACTTTATGGTCTATCCACCCTGTTTCTCTGTATGTGAACTCCTTGAAGCAGACACTGCCTTTTCCTTCTGTGTCTTCTATACTGAACTCACTGTTACCTGAGTATGCTTAGCCGTTTTGTGACATCAGCCTTTAAAGTAGGTGGGTCAACCATTATTGCCTGTCTCCCTTTCTCCCCTTTTCTGCATGGGCAAACTCTGCCTCCAATGCCCATCTCAAATGCATTGTCTTTGTAGCGTGTGTGTGTGTGTGTGTGTGTGTGTGTGTGTGTGTGTGTGTGTGTGCATGTATGTGTGTGTGTTCATGTGTGTGTGCTTGCAGGTGGGTGCATGTGTATGTGCAGGAGCATACGCATTTGTGTACACATTTGTATGGAAGCTGGAGGTCAACCTCAGGAGCCGCTTTGTTTTTTTTTGAGACAGTGTTTCATTGGCCCAGAGCTCAGTAAGTATGCTAGGCTGGCTAGCCAAGTGCCTGTATCCCCTCCCCAGTGTTAGGATTATAAGCACACACTACCAGGCCCAACTTTTTTTTTAAGTGTGTGTTCTGGGGATCAAATTAAAGTCCTCATGCTTATGTAGCAGGCACTGAACTGACTGAGCCATCTCCCTAGGCCCTCAAATGCAGTCTCTCCGAGTCTGGGTGGTCTTGGATACACTTTGTGCTTCCCTAACCTAGTCTAACCTTAATTATAGTATTCGACACTTAAGTATTTTATTGTAATTACTAACTTACCTAGCTCCGTCTCCAACCTATCTCATAGTAATTCATCTTTGTGTCTTTAGCACAAAGCATCCTATACTACATCCTATATTATACATCCAACAATACTTCCTTGGCTAGTAATTAATCTTTTATGGAACACAGTAGCCTGGGAAGAACTATTGCATAGGTCAGTTATCTGTGAATGCTTTTCTGCATAGTTAGCTGGTCCATACAGCTGTTCGGATGTGCTGACTTCATTGGCTTGGTCTAGTCTTGTCTCTAAATCTCTCCTTATTACTCTTCCAGGTGCTTGATGCTCAACAGTTGGTCGACTGCCAGTCCTCACCCTCCATGAGCCTTGGTTCTGATGCGACCTTTGGTCATGCAGGGATGCCCTTACACCCTCCCACGATGTCATGAGTGGCATGCTGCTGACAGGTTTCATCACAGCAGCAGCCTCAGAAACAGCTGTCCCCAGCCTCAGGTAAGCGTCCATTAGTAAAAGGAAGGCCTGTGTGAAAAGACTGGATGTGGGATCTGTTTGAACATATATGATACCTATACTTCCTAAGGTGCAAGGAAACTCGTGTAAATAAAAACCCTTAGATAGCGGAGCCTCCTGCAGCCCATTCCTTATCAGTCATGAGGTAGTTAATGGGGGACATACTGCAGAGAAAGTTGTCAGGTTAGGTAATCCAAAGGCCTATTATGTCTAATGAGGACCAATCCCATGTTAACCTTCTGGGGGTTACAGGTCTGGGGAGGTCCCAAAAGAGCATGATTCTTCAGTGCATGGCTTAGAGCAAAGTGAGGTCCTTCCACAGCCTTGGCTTCTGCCTAGTGTACTTTATATTCTTCTGGTTTCTCTCTCCATTGGCTCATCATCTCAAGTCCCTAGTCTTCCTTGCAGCTCCTGGCTCAGCCCAGCTTAGAATTTTCTCTTCTCCCCTAGGAGTATGGTGATGATAGTGGTGGTGGCGGCGGCGGCAGCGGTGGTGGCGTGTCTGTCTGTCTGTCTCTGTTTCTGTATATTGGTGGGTGGGTGAGAAGTAGTAATCTAGAGAGAGAACCCTCCTTTCCTTACAATGAGGAAGGAGGTCCAGGGGAAGCTGTCTGGAAAAGAGGGAGACATGGGTGCACTCTGGATTTCCCTGCACTGCTTTGGGGTCTAGAGACTGTGGGGCATGAGGAAGTACAGTATATCACGGAGAGTCACAGACAGACTGCTGTGCTGAGTCATTTCTAGGGGCACAGACAGCAGGTCAGTCTGTAGGGAGATGGGAGAGAGGGCGCAAAGCAACAGAGTGAGAATACAGGTGTTAGGGAAATCATTTGGGAAAAGCTAAAGAAGGAAAAGTCAAGATCCAGACAAGAATGAGGATCAGTTTTTTTTTGGCATTTAGCCAGAGAAACATTTCTGCCTCTAATATATTTTCAAAGCCAGGGTCAGTTTAGAGTTGTCCAGTAATCTGCCTCTTGCTTGGAGTGCGGCTCTCACAGTGTTGAGGTATTGAGAAGCCTGAGTCTTTCCAAATGGCTTCATTTGCCCATTGCCTCGCCACACCCAACAAGCTTCCCTACATGGGCAGAGCACGTAGGGGCAGCAGTGTGTGATTGTGAATGGCATAGGGCAGTCTTTCTTTCCTGATTGCATGTGTTTTTTCTTCCTTCCTGCACTATTATTGTCTCAAGGGTTCAAGGTATGGGTAGAGAATTCTGTGGATGGGGTGTGAGCAGCAAACATCTTACACACACACACACACACACACACACACACACACACACACACACACACACAAACAGAACGGGAAAGCAACTGATACGGGAAGGGAAAGAAAACAATTCCTCTTCATGATTTGCCTACGAAATGTCCTTGGCCCTCTTCAGAGGGGAAATGAGAGGAGAGCAGGGCTCTCGAGAACAACGTGGGAGCCGGCCGGATGGTGATTAGGAAGCTAAGAAGAGAGAGGGCTGAAGAGGATGAAAGGCGAACACCGATGGCGCCCAGCTCATTGTGTGTTCCTCCCCAGAGCACAGCCAGGCCGGCTTGGTCACGGCGGGGTCACAAGGGGCTGTTTCCAACTCAGGGGCATTCCCAGTCCAAAGGACTTTGTGACACTGGCTTTAGCCCAATTATCCTAACACAAGCAATGCCTGTAACTGGAGCTACTCCCCACTCTTGGCTCATCATCCCTACGGTCCTCCAGCCATCCCAGTTGGCTCCGCTCAGGCCTCTAGAAAGGGTCAGGCAGCTGTTGCAACTATTCCTGTAGGTGGACCTCAGCATGGAAACAATGTGGAACTGTGGAAAGCCTAGAAGACTGTGGGAGACAAATAAGGGTGGGAACAGAACGCTTTTTGGTATAAACATAGTGTTTTCCGAAAGTGCTCAGGGGTGGGGGCTGAGCTCGGGAATGTTAACCTTTTTCCAGGCAAGTCTACTAAAGAGAGAAACTAGTGATCATTACCAGTAGCGGCTCGGCCCCGCAGTCAGCGGCTTAATGGAAAGGGCTTCCCTCAGTCCCACCCAGTATAGCCCAGGCTGGCACAGGGGTGTCTCCATCCCTGGCTATCTTCATGGAACTGCTACATTTCATTGTCCTCTCTTCCTCTGTTATAGAGGCTCAAAGGGATGCCCAGAGCCCATCAGTTTGTCCTCAGGGTACAGAGGTCTGTCAGTTATGGCTCTCCCTCTACCTCTCAAAGGCAGGGCAAAACACTCCCTTATTTTAATAGTGGCCTCCGGTGAATCTTCTGGTCTCTGCACTCATGGAAGATGACCAAATGCAGAGGGATTCTGCTACCCCAGCTTCCCAATGCAGACATTCCATGACCCTGTCCCCAGGTGCCGAACACACTCCTCACTGCTTCTGAAGACGCTCACTTAGTTGGGAGCAAGGCTTATTTCCCAAGCTCATCTTCCATCAGTCCTTGGAGAAACTGCCTTCCAAAAGTTTATTGCTCAAGTTGTCTTATCTTTGTGTCCACTTCAGAGCAGGGCCGGGCCTGGAGGCAGTAAGTGCTTTGTGTCTTCCTCAGAGAGGGGAAGTTAGTCAACAGGACTGCCCTCTCCACACCACTCCTCAGCCCCATGGAATGCCCAGTCCCACTCCTGCTACCCTTGCCAGCCTGGGAGCGAGCCGGAATTCCCCACAACAAAGCGCTGATTCACTGGGTAGACTCTGACATGGCCGCCCCCTCCAGATTCCTGGGGGGTCAGTAAACAAACAGGGTAGCAGCCCCCCCCCCCATCCCCTATCCCGCCTCCTGGCCTGGCTTAGCTCTGCCCAGTCTCCCTGAGTGGGGTTGCTCAGAGCTCCTCAGGATTCTGCCTGTCTGCACTCACCAGACACGGGGTCTGGACTCCTGCTGAGGGAAAATCATGGAACTCCCAGGTCCTGCCATGGACTCCTCAGGCAGCACAGGTAGGGTCAGCACACAGGCTACAGGGGGGCTGAGTTCTCAGGTTGTTGCCCAGAACTTGGCAGCTCCTCACTTTCCTTTCACGCTGTGGTCATGAGCTGTAGTTTTACTGTGATGGTTGGTATCCTAAATTGCCTGGAGAGTCTCCCTCAGCTGAATGGACCAGACTCTGCTGACTCCCCAGGGGAGACCTTGCCTCGGAGGAGGTGGGAATGGGGGGTGGGTTGAGGGGAAAGGCTGGGGGGTGGGAGGAGGGAGGAGGGGGAATCTGTGGTTGGTATGTAAAATGAATAGAAAATCTCTTAATAATAATAAAAAAGAAATTACTAAATAATCAAAAAAAAGTATCATTTTAAGACAGAGAGGAGAATCGAGGAGTCCCAGCCTCTAGGAGGGCTAGCTAGTTGGTAAGATGCAGGTAGACCTGTGGGCAAACAGGAGAGTCTCCATGGGTAGGGTGGATCAGCTCAGACAGAGATTCCCTCCTCCAACTCCCTCCCTCCACCCTATACTGCCCCCTGCCTGGGTATTTCCAGCACTATGCTCATAATGGGTGATTTGGTCAACTATACCCTAGACCCAACAATACTCTCACAGGGTCTCACCAGTGCCCAGGACAGCAACAGTAGAGTATGAGACTGAGAACCCAAGCTACAGTTTGGCAAGCTTCAAGACTGGGCTTCTTGGCTGCCAACTTAAGTCAGAATCCTTTTTAGTGCAAAATCCAGAATGTTCCTTTTATCTTTCTCAGTCCACGTTCACCTTCATGACCCTTAGGAAGATTTCCAGGCTTCCTGACTGTGATTTGAAGTGTGGATTAAAACTGGGGGAAGGTGACCTGAACGGCCTAGATCCATTGGAAAGTAGGATGTAGGGAACGGATCACTTCCTTTGCCTTAGCTGCCTCTTCTCTGAATCTTTGTGGGGCAGGCCCTCAGCTGTATTTTCTAGAAGGCTGGGTAAAGTGTGAGCCCCTGTGGATTGAGTCTACAGCTCAGTTTGAATGCTATGATTGTTCATGTTTGGACAAATCCCACCAGCTTCTTATTGAATGCAGGGTCCCATTTGCACAGTCATCCTGGCAAAATTTCTAACAGAGGGTGGGAGGGTTATCACGAAGGAAGCAGTACTCTGCACTTCTTTGCCCGTTCCAAGAGACGAGCTTCCAGCGAGTGGGTCTGTAGAGTCCTACTGCAGCTCCCCCCTTGAATATGCACCCGCACAAAATAGGCTAGGATTTCTGGACCCTGGGATCAGCCTTTCTCTCGTCTTGTTCACTCCTGTCCCACACTTAGCATAGAAGAGGGCATGGAGAAGTCCAGAGACCACAGACATTTTGTGTTTCTGTCCAGGTTAGAGCTGCGGTCACCATCCCTGCACCTCCTTGGGATGGTGCCGGGAATCCCTGCCTAAGTCCAAAGCTCTTGAACGGGTCTGTTGGAGCCATTGGCCCCCTGGAACCATCAGCCATGAATCTGTGTTGGAATGAAATAAAAAAGAAGTCTCATAACTTGCGGTAAGGACTAACCCCTAGAAAAAGTTACTTTAGGGATTGGCTGGGACAGTATTGGCCCCTTTTGTTGCTGTAGTTTGTGTGCCCCCCAGTCAGCCTCACTATCTACTTCTCTCCATCTTTCTCGGGCACAGAGGAAGAACCCTGGGTTAGTAAGGCCATTTCTGTCTTAACCTGTTGTAGGTAGTTGTGTCATCTTGGATAAGTTGCTCGAGTTCTCCGAATTTTAGCTTCCACTCGGTTTGATTTTGTCCTGAGATTGTAGCTCAGGCTGGCTCGGCATTCTCTATAGAGTGCAGGCTGGCCTTGAACCTTGGAATCAACTCTTCTTTGCCTTTCCAGTGCTAGGCTTATTGGCGAGCACTACTACACCTGGCTTCGTTCTTTAGGTTTGGAGACCAGGCTGGCCTCGAACTCACAGAGATCCGCCTGCCTCTGCCTCCCGAGTGCTGGGATTAAAAGCGTGCGCCACCATTGCCCGGCCTCGTTCGCTTCGGCGGCACATAGACTAAAATTGGAACGATACAGAGAAGATTAGCATGGCCCCTGCGCAAGGATGATACACAAATACCGTTCTTTAGTTTTTTAAGAAGATGAAAAGAGGAGGAATAAATAAAGCCTCTCCTCCCTACCTCACAGTGTCACCAACATCCAAATAACAAGGAAAAGTGCTTTCTAAACTTAAAAGTGCTGGTATGCAAATCAAAATGAAGCAGTCGTCCCCCTCCTCCTCTTCCTCATGACTGTCCAGCCTTGGAGCGTTTCATCTGCATACTCCCATCCCTTTCTTGTATTTTGTTTTATTTATTTATTTAGATACAGGGTCTCACGTATCCCAGACTGTCCTTAAAGTCACTATATAGCTGAGGACCCAGAACTTCTGACCCTCCTGTTTCCCCCTCCTGAGAACGTGGATTGCAGGCATAGGCCACCACGTCCAGTTTATGTGATCCTGGAACTCAAACTTCATGCATGCTAGGCAAGTGCTCTCCCAGGCGGCCTGCGTCCCCAGCCCAGTCGCATATTTTGATGTCCTCTATTCCCATCCATGGGTTGTCACCTCGGGTAGATGCAACTCAGTAAGAGCCCAAAGGCGGCTTCTCTCTGTTGTTTTCTTTCTGCCCTGCTGTGTGTGTCTCATTCTTAGCCCAAACTCGGGGCTTCTGGGGGTCTGTGATGAGATGAGACAGTGTAGAAAAGCTGAGAGAAAGCAGCCTGCCGTGCCCGAAAAGCCTGTTTCAAATCACAGATCTGTGTCAGTCGCCTGAGTCTGTCGTCCTGAACAAACTGATCTTTGGAAATGATAATGCCCACCCCATAAGATTGTTGTAAGAACTAGTTGACACCGTAATTTAGAAAAAGCTTTTTTTTTTCCAGGTATAGGGAAGCAGTGGGCAGAGATAGTTGTTAGCGCCAACTAAGAGGAATGGGATTAATATCTGCATATCAGGCCTTGACCAGCCTCCAACTTCCTACTGTTAGACCTTAGCTCATACTTCATTTGGGAGTCGGGGCAAACAGACATGTGATTATATAATACATGTTTTCTTCTGTATTTCCAACCGATGTTTTTGCCATCTTTTGAGTCCCTTTGGGCTGAGATTTGTGTAGAGCCTTGCTCGGGTTTGTGCTCATATTCAACCGTCCACCCTGCCCTTCCCACCAACTGTACCCTCTCCTGGGCAGAGCATCCTACCTGGCTGAGCAGAATGATGTGATTTGTATTCTGCCAGGGCAAGAGGGGAGCCAGACTGCTGTCACCCTTAATGCCCTTGCTCAGTTTCTTACCCTTCCTGGCATGCTGCTGGACATGCAGCTGAAGTGACCAAGATGTTTTCAACCGTTTTAATATAGGATAGCTCCCAACCACTGTTTTAAATACTACACACCTGTGCTGGGAACATTCATCAGTAGACACAAGGAGGAGCGGCTCCCGGGTCTCCTTCCACTGCAGCTAGAGCAGTTCCTTTGAGTCCGTTTTGTATATTAAAGTATATTTGCATATTAAAGGAAGAGTAGATTTTGTTATTTAGAAAGTGATTGGATCACTGGTCTTACAGCGCTCGCCTGGAGGCCTTCTCAGACCACAGCGGAAAACTTCAGCTCCCGCTCCAAGAGATCATTGACTGGCTCAGCCGAAAGGATGAGGAGTTGTCAGCTCAACTGCCCCTGCAAGGGGATGTGGCCCTGGTACAACAGGAGAAGGAGACGCATGCGGTAGGTTAGACTCCTGGAGGGGTGCCGTGGAGACGCATGCGGTAGGTTAGACTCCTGGAGGGGTGCCGTGGAGACGCATGCGGTAGGTTAGACTCCTGGAGGGGTGCCGTGGAGACGCATGCGGTAGGTTAGACTCCTGGAGGGGTGGCGTGGAGCCCCTCAGCAGGAAACACGCTTTCACGGTACCCTGACAGACAGGCCCTCAGTTTACTCAGATACCTAAAGCGGTAGGTCAGGGTATGCAGTCCTCCTCATCTGGGGCTTGCACTCCACAGCGTGAGCCAAGGCTCGTCATCCAATTTAAAACCCTGCCTTGATTTATAAGGAGACTATGGACAACTGAACTTAATATGATGTTTAAAATGCAAAATATAAAACTATGGATCTCAGTTCCATGAAGATGTATATAGATGTGTGTGTGTGTGTGTGTGTGTGTGTGTGTGTGTGTGTGTGTGTGTGTATACAGAAATGGCACAGGGAGGAAATATACCAAAACGTTAACAGTGTTTAACTCTAGGTGATAAAACTGTAATTCTCTTTCATTTTGTAATTCTCTATAATTTTTCATTTAGTTTTAATTTATATTTTTAATTTATACTTTTCTGAACTTTTAAATATTTCTGTGACATCACCTCTATAATCAGAAAATGACCAATATCTCTTTGTTTTGTTCTCTTTTGTTTTGTTTTTGAGCCAAGTTTTTACTACATGGGTTTGACTGGCCTCAAACTTAGTAAAGAGTTCAGACTGAACTCAAGCTAATTATAAAACCCAGGCTGGTGTCACATTGAGTCTTCCAGAAAGCTAAGATCTACTCTACAATGTTTCTTCTACTTTATGGCATAGCCAGACTCATTGCACACTAAATAGACTTTCTAGCATTAGAGTTATTTTCTGCCTATAGGGAGGACTGATGTTTTTCCCTCCCTGGGTAACCCTGAAATCCCTAGTAATGCCACAGGATCAACTTTCCTTAAGAAGAAAGATTGGAAAAAGCACAGGGACAAATAGCCAAACGAATGGAAACACATGAACTATGAACCAATGGCTGAGGAGCCCCCAACTGGATCAGGCCCTCTGGATAAGTGAGATGGTTGATTAGCTTGAACTGTTTGGGAGGCCCCCAGGCAGTGGGACCAGGACCTGTCCTTAGTGCATGAGCTGGCTGTTTGGAACCTGGGGCTTATGCAGGGACACTTGGCTCAGCCTGGGAGGAGGGGACTGGACCTGCCTGGACTGAATCTACCAGGTTGAGCTGAATCCCCAGGGGAGTCTTTTCCCTGGAGGAGATGGGAATAGGGGGTGGGCTGGGGGGAAGGCGGGAGGGGGGAGGACAGGGGAATCTATTGCTGATATGTAAAATTAAATTGAATTATAAAATAAAAAAATTTTAAAAAGAAGAGAGGTTGTTGATCATGGCGTAAAATTGAAGTCATTGAAAGGCTTTCTTTTCCTTTTGACTGCAAACCTTCACAGGCCTTTATGGAGGAAGTCAAGTCTAAAGGTCCCTATATCTACTCCGTGCTGGAATCCGCTCAGGCTTTCCTGACCCAGCACCCATTTGAGGAATTAGAGGAGCCTCATTCTGAGAGCAAAGGTAGGTGGCCTTCCTGCCTTCCCCCATTTCTTCTTGAGCTATATGTACTAGTAAACAAACACCTTTGTGCCTTTCACGGGCTCCTTTTCTGAGTTGTTACTTAGGAAGGTAGTTTTCTCCTGTGAGCCCAAAGTCAGACTGGGACAAGAGTCACAGTTGTAAGAAAGGAAAGAACCTGAAGTAGGTCTCACCAGCATGGGGCCTAAAGCTGTATGTGGCTCTTCAGAGAATCATGTGTGGCCTTGTAATGAGATGTTAGGAAGGGAGGGAGGGAGGGAGGGAGGGAGGGAGGGAGGGAGGGAGGGAGGGAGGGAGACCTTAAGTGAATTGAAGCAACCCAGGGAATGAGAGGAGTCTGTCCTTTCGGAATGTTGTTTGTCCCCTGAGTGACACCCCAGGCCTGTACCTGCTACCCGTGTGAATCTGCACCTTCGTCTTCACATTCGCATGTGAAGATACTGAAGAATAAATGTAGCATGAATTGAAAACATTAGAAAAGAATCTGATTTATTCCAACAGAGAGGGACATTGGCGATGCTGGTATCAGCCAGCAACTACAAAGCAATCTTAAAACCAAAGAATCTTCAGATTTTCAGATGAAAATTGATTGTGGCTGGTCGATACTGACCCTGGTGACTTCTGGACCTGACTTCATAGCGAGGGCTGTTTTCTATCTTGGTTCCCATAAACTGCCAGTGTGGCATCCATGGAAATCAAGTCCAAGTGGCAGTCTAGCAAACCCTCCGGAAAAGGCTCCTGAGCCCCAACCCACGGAGGGAATAGACTGGAAAGAAGCCTTCCTCAGCGGAGTCCTTTGTCGATTCTGTTCACAGGCTCGGTTGATTTCTGGCCTCTCAGTGGGCCAGTTAGCACATAAGTCACTGCTCAGTGGGCCCCAGATAGGGCAAGCTCCAGAGACAGTAAGGCGAGTCCACGCAGCTTGGGACTAGAGACTCTGAATCCTCCTCTTTCTGCAGGAAGTCTGAGGGACAAAGAGGAAACCTAAAAATGAGAAGTCCAAGGAGAAAAGCTTGGCACATTATACCAGACTCCTGAGCTGGAGCATCCTTTCTTTGGATTTTAGTGAACAGCAGACACTAATGCCTAAATCATTTCCTGGGGTATATGAATAGGACTAGATGATTTACCTCACCATACCTCTTAAAATACTTTAATCCTTACTTACCTTACAATTTTAAAAAATGAGATAACCTTAATGTAAATGTGGGAGGAAACTAAAATGCCCTCATGTGGCTGTAGATTCATGAACCAACACATGATAAAATTCCATGGAACTAAGTGTGTGTGTGTGTGTGTGTGTGTGTGTGTGTGTGTGTGTGTGTGTGTGTGTGTTTGTGTGCACTTGCGCAAAAATGAATACAGGTAAAACCAGAAACTTTGAACAAAATTGACAGAATATATCAATGCCAAAATCCTGGGTGTTATATGATACTGTTAGTTTACAAGACATTACCATTTTGGTAAAGAGTGCAGGAAATATCGACGTTATTTCTTATAACCAAAAGCTAATCTATAATAATCTCAAGATAAATGGTTTAATTTTAAAAAAAATCTCGGAATGTGGGCCAGTGAGACGGCTCAGTTGGTAAAGGTGCTTGCCCCAGAGCCGGACAACCTGGGACCCACTTTGTAGAAAGAGAAAGCCAGCTCCAGCACACTGTCTTCTAACGTCCACACAGACACTGCAGAAAACACACACACACACACACACACACACACACACACACACACACACACACGCACGCATGCACATGCACACACACAAACACACAAAATAAATATGTATATGCATAAATACATAAATATAAATAATAATTTAAATCCCTGAATGTGCAAAAGTAGCTCAGTAATGGAAATATATATATGTAAACAGGAATATTTGTATACAAACAGGCACACATTGGTGTCCCAAACCCCTCATTTATAGGCAAGCATATACGTTTTATAAAAGGATGACTTTGTCTTAGTCTTTCTCTGGGTTACCTCTTCCGGGTTAGCTTGACTTGGCTTCATGACTGTGCTCACAGATACCTCCCCCAGACAACGAATTCAGAATCTTAGCCGCTTTGTGTGGAAGCAGGCAACAGTGGCCAGTGAGCTGTGGGAGAAGCTGACAGCCCGCTGTGTGGATCAGCATCGCCACATTGAGCATACTCTGGAACATCTCTTGGAGATCCAAGGGACAATGGAGGAACTAAGCAGTACTCTGACCCAAGCAGAGGGAGTCCGAGCCACTTGGGAGCCCATTGGGGATCTCTTCATTGATTCCCTCCCAGAGCATATCCAAGCCATCAAGGTATGTAGGTCTCCTTCCCTGACTCCAGTCCCTGCTGAGAGACCTGATGTCCTTTCACAGTGCCAATTTTCCTTCTGCTAAGACATGATTGTTGGTCTGGGCTTCAGCCAAGCCTCTTTTTGGTTATGGGCTAGATTGGGGGCTAGGTTGTCTATTGCCATCTCTGTCCTACTGTTTCCTTTCCCCGCTTTTCTGGAGTGACTAGAAGGAAGGGATTAGAGCACTGGCCACTCATATCTTAGTCTATTGAACAAATGACCTAGTAGCTAGGTGTTGTTGAGACTAATCCTCCACGTGGGAAGGGAAGGTGAATGAGTAATGTGTCCTCTTTCCTACTCTCTGTCTGCTGTGGCACTTGGTTCTGCTTTTCTAGCTCTTCAAAGAAGAATTCTCTCCTGTGAAAGATGGAGTGAAGTTAGTGAATGATCTGGCCCACCAACTTGCCATTTCTGATGTACACTTGTCAATGGAGAATTCAAGGGCTCTGGAACAGATCAACATCCGGTGGAAACAGCTCCAGGTAGAGGAGCATCCTGAAATGAGCCTTGGGGAGGTATCATGGTATGGCCAGGCTTTGGGGGAAAGTGTACGCAGGCCCAATGGAATCATGGGTTTGGAAATGAAATCTACACAGGAAAAGAATAGTAGAGAATTAGGGGTCAGAAAATAAACTTCTCCACCTCTAAGCTGCAGGAAATGGCTGAACTAAAGGAATGAGAGGGACTTGTCTTGATTTAAACACACTGGTTGGACTGGGGAGAATTACCATGGCTCAGAACTAAGGAGGCTGCTCTCTGATCCTTGTCAGTGCGAGAGGAGGATGGAAGTTGGGTGACAATAGATGGGATTGGAACAGGAGAAAGGCTAGCCTATGAGGGAGCTCATAAAGATTCTTGGAGGCAATTGCAGATTCCATACTAAATGGCTAGAAGTAACCCACTGTTCTTTCCATAGGCGTCAGTTGGTGAGAGGCTTAAGCAGCTCCAGGATGCCCACCGGGACTTTGGGCCTGGGTCACAGCACTTCCTCTCCAGTACGTAAGCCAAGCTAGACTGCATGTAGAAGAACCTCAGCCATTTCCCAAGAGAATCTACTGTTGTCCACTGGGGGTCTGGTGGGAGCCCAGTAGATCTTGGCATCCAAGAAGCGATAAGGAAAAAGCTGTGTGGTGTGGTAGTTAAAAGAGCAGTCTCCCCAGTCAGAGGAGCTGTGCAAACTTGAAAAACAAGTGTAATCTTTTTGAAGCTCACTTTTCCATCTGAAAAGGGGAGATTTCCTAGCTCTTTAGGTTTTAAATATTAAATAAGTTTATTTATGCAACAGTTTCACTGTGAACCAGGTACTTTCCTGGACACTGGGGTCATGCTGGTGGGAAAAAAAAAACACATGGACAGAAACCCTTCAATTTGGACAGCTTGCATTCTGGTGGAGTAAACAGATCATAATCAAATAAGTAAACAGGTATAAGAGACATTTGTGGCAAGTGCTATGGATAGGTGAGGGAGCACACGAGGCACAAATTCTAGGCCCTTAAAACAGGAGGTCAGGGAGGTGTGCTGAGGAGCAGCCAGGAGACCTGTGCAGAAAAAGGCAAAGGAAAGAGCAGAGAAGTTAGAGCATGGTCGGCCTTGTAGGTAAAAGAAAGAACTTGAGATTTTATTCCAAATGGAATAGAGGATTTTTGGTAGGGTTTGAGAGTGGGGTGACATGATCTGATTTATGTTTTGGCATGATGTTCAGAATACACTGTTATGGGTCAGAGTGGGAACAGAGAGACCTCTCAACATTTACTGCATGGTAATCCACGTGAAGGGTGATACCGGCCTAGATTGAGGCGGTAGGAGTGGAGATGGCAAAAAGTAGACAAAAATGAAAGTTAGATGTGCCTATAAGGCATGGGCATAGTATCTGGCACATGGGAGGAACTCAATAGACATGGTTAGAATTACTGCCTTATAGTCAGTTCCACAGAGCTACATCTGCAGAGGATTCTTAGATTCAGAGAAGCTGCGGTGAGTGAGCAGGTGAGCCAGCTAGGCTGAGCCTCCTCTGTTAAGACCTCAATGATAGAGACAGAGGGTTGAAAGAGTTCCTTATAAAGGAGAAATGGGCAGTGCCATCCCCTACGCCACAGATCTGAGAAGGTCGGCCTTCTAGGGGAAAGGCTTTGAGCCTCATCAGACGATTGTATTTCATAGCCACAGGAGCAATCCAGTTACCTGCAGCTGAATAGGTTAAAAAGGCAGCCTGCTTAAGGCAAATATTAAGGTTATGAAATATTCCTGTTCATGTTCTAGCCCTGTTTCTGGTTCAATAGGGCATCGGTGACAAGCTCTTCCCTTCTCCTGTCCCAACATCAAGGAACAAAGTGTGTTTCTTGTTAAGTGCCCCTCCCTGGGAGCTGTTAACAGTTGGACGTGAATGCTATTTCCTTTTGTGTTCAACTGCCTTTGAGGAAGGATAGTGCATAAGAAGGGCCAAGACGGTGGTGCACGCCTTTAATCCCAGCACTCGGGAGGCACAAGCAGGTGGATCTCTGTGAGTTCAAGACCAGCCTGTTCAGTCTACAGAGTGAGTTCCAGGTCAGCCAGGGCAACACAGAGAAACCCTGTCTTGAAAAAACAAAAACAACAACAACAACAACAACAACAAGTCAAGCTGGACTGGAGAGGTGGCTGAGCGGTTAAGAGCAGTTGTTGCTCTCACAGAGGACAGAGGTTCAATTAGCAGTCCCCACACGGCAGCATCCAGCCACCTCTAAGTCCAGTTCCAAGAGACCTAATGCCTTGTTCTGACCTCTCCAAGCACCAAGCACACATGTGGTACACATTCATTCACGCGTGCAGGCAAAACACTCACATAAAAGAACACGAATTCATCTAATTAAGCAATTTAAGAATGGCCAGGATGCTTGAGGAAAACTAGTGGCCAGCTTTCTTTCTCTTCTCTTTTACCAGCTTCTGTCCAGGTTCCCTGGGAACGAGCAATTTCTCCCAATAAAGTTCCCTACTACATCAAGTGAGTGATCATCAGGATCAGGAGCCGGTCAGTCACCTGCCTATCCCCTCCATCACCTGCCTTTTGGGTCCCTAACTCTGTCACTTCTGTGCCTTGAGATTGCCCTGCTTAGTCTAATGTTTCCCCCAACTTGTCAGACGTGCTTAAGGTTCTGCCTGGGTGATGGTGAGCTCTGGTGTATTAGGAGCTTCAGAGTTTGTCTTTACATTGTGCAGCTTCTGGCAGCCCACCTTTCACTGACTAATGGATGTGGGCCTGCAAAGGGTGTTGGAAATGTGATGTTGGTGCTATTGATGCTTTTGTTTGTAGTCACCAGGCTCAGACCACATGCTGGGACCACCCCAAGATGACTGAGTTATACCAAACCCTAGGTGAGAATGCGAGGGTCCTGTATGGGGTGGGACCGTGTACAAGTATCTTTATCCTATACCCCATTAATGTAAGAAAGGATGAGCATGTACCATATGCACAAAATGGACTAATACTCTTTAGTCTTAAAACAATACCATTTGGATGATACCGGTAAGCCCAAAGAATGTTACGCTGACTGAAATAAGGCTTGAAAAGAAGATCAAACACTGCATGATCCCACTTATATAAGGAATTTAAGATAGTCAGACTCCTGGAATCAGAGAGTAGAGTGGGGGCTGTCAGAGGCTAGGGGAGGAGGAAGCAAGAAGGTAATGGTCATAGGTCACATTTTCAATTATGCCACAAGAATAGGTCCTGGATGGAGATCTGCTACATGACGTAGTGAATATAGTCAATAGTACTATTTTCATGTGTCAAAGTCTACTAAGAGAATAATCTTATGTTAAGTGCCCTTACCAGCAACACACCACTACTAGGTAGTAATATTGATAAATACGAAGGTGGGAGGAAACGTTGGTAGCAATGGATAGGTTTATGACACAGATTGTGGTGATGGCTTCATGGTGTGGACTTATCCCCAAACTTACCAAGCTATATACATTAAATACGTGCTGCTTCCTGTCACTTCACATATAGCTTCTTGCATGTCCATTGTACTTCAATAAGGTAATTTTTAAAAGAAAAGCTCCTCTGCATCTTCCTCAACAGCATAGTCTCCATTTCACCGTGGACCATTTTAGCATCATTAGGGAGTTAATCATGAAGACATGAATTCTAATCTGATTTGTAAGGCAGTCTCTGATCTGCAATGAGGGAGACTCTTTCATGCCTTATCTTTACCTACTAGGAGAAATAGCATATGTCACAAGTTTAGCCCTGTGGCTACAGTTAGAATGCTCGCTTTCACTGCTGTAGGGGATACCATTGCATATGGCCTTTCTTTATCCAGTCTATTGCTGACGAGGACTTGGGTCCCTAGTTTAGAGTGAATATGTGTAATGCTGCTGAAGAGTTCTTGTAGATGGCTTCTGGTACACATGTGCAGGGGTTTTTCCAGGGCATGCTTTTAGTATGTAGGTCATAACATTATTTTAGCATGTTACAACAATCTTCTTCAAAAGCTGAAATAGACCAGGAACTATTAGTGGGCAACAGATCCTTAGCAAGGGTCAGATTTGACAGTAATTTTATGTTTTTATTTGTATTAAATCTAGTAAAGAATTGCTTTAGGAAATGCATATATACTGGCTCATGATATGAAATACGTTTCTTACTGTGAGTCTTAGTGAAAAAGTGTTTACATATCACTGCTGTGGATTATAGCTGCTTTGATGGCAGGATGAATGCGTTCCACTTTACTGGGTAATACCAAGTTGTTTTCCTGGTGGTCCCATCAGCGCTCACTTCCACTAACAGCCCTCATTCATACATATCCTAGTCGACACTTGTTCTTCTTTACATTTCTCTGATCTAAGCGAGTCTCTTTCTGTTCTTTGCAGCTGATCTGAACAACATTAAGTTCTCAGCTTATCGGACTGCCATGAAGCTCCGCAGAGTCCAGAAGGCCCTGCGCCGTACGTCCTCATGCTCTTCCCCATGGCTTTTACTCCCGTCCTCCTCCCCCTCACCTGTCTGCTTCTTCGCACTTGCACCCCACCCTGGCCAGAGTCATTGATTGTTTTGATGGGAACTCTACAAATACTGGAACACACTGGCTGTGAAAACTGGATCTTTTCATTCACCTCACACCCCCAGCCTTGTTTTCAAAGTAACTCCACAGCTATCTGATTCCTAGTCCTTTTTCCCTAGACAGCTTAGATAATCAAGAAACTGCTTTGCAGCAGGCAGCATCTGCTTCATGGTTTGCCATCCTGGGGTTATTAGAGACAGCAACAGAATTGTTAAAACGAGTGTCTGTAGTTGGCCATCAGCATGCTGCAGATGGGTCGTCTCTTCTGGCCTTGCTCAGGAGTACTTACTGTTCGTTTAAACTTCCTGTCCCAGCTGTCTAGGTAGGCTGACTCCACATCACAGGTAATTAAAATATCTTCCTGGTGTATGTCACATTCACTCAGCCATGCACGACCCTGTGGAAGCAGGACTAAGTTTCCTAGAACAGGATTCATGGACAAAACTGTTTTCAGCTGAAACTGATGTTGGGCTGAGGGCTGAGCTCAGTGACTGAGGGCTGAGCTCAGTGACTGAGGGCTGAGCGCAGTGATACAGGGCTGAGCTCAGTGACTGAGGGCTGAGCTCAGTGACTGAGGGCTGAGCGCAGTGATACAGGGCTGAGCTCAGTGACTGGGGGCTGAGCTCAGTGACTGAGGGCTGAGCGCAGTGATACAGGGCTGAGCTCAGTGACTGAGGGCTGAGCTCAGTGATACAGGGCTGAGCTCAGTGATAGAGGGCTGAGCTCAGTGATAGAGGGCTGAGCTCAGTGATAGAGGGCTGAGCTCAGTGACTGAGGGCTGAGTTCAGTGACTGAGGGCTGAGCTCAGTGACTGAGGGCTGAGCTCAGTGATACAGGGCTGAGCTCAGTGACTGAGAGTTGAGCGCAGTGATTGACGACCTATTATGAACAAGGCCCAGGTAGCAGTCCTCTGTGCCTCTGAAATTAGTTTAAAAGACAAAAGAGGCTTTTGAAAGCAGAGAAACTGAAAATAGGATATGATGCCCTGGGAGTTAGCACAACCTAAGAGGTGTGTCCATTCACATCTTGCCATTTTCTCAAAACTCCTGTAAAGGAACTTATGTATACAGAGACGTGCTACATTAACTTGGGCGACCTCTTGCGACCTTGCTCTTCCATGGGATGGGGATCACGGTAAAGGTGATCCCCATAATGTTTATGGCATTTTCCAATGGTTGGTTTGGAGCTGGTACCAGATTTGATGATACCGTGGCCTTGCCTCACCGGTTCCCTTGGTTCTTCTCTGGGCTGTATTTGCCTTTTCTTCTTTCCTTTCCAGTGGATCTGGTAACTTTGACTACGGCTCTGGAGATCTTCAGTGAGCACGACCTGCAGGCCAGTGAACATGTGATGGATGTGGTGGAGGTCATTCACTGCCTGACTGCCTTGTATGAACGACTGGAAGAGGAAAGAGGCATCCTGGTCAATGTGCCACTGTGTGTAGACATGAGCCTCAACTGGCTCCTCAATGTTTTTGATAGGTAAAAGCTTTCAGTCCTAGAAACCTCCCAAATCAATCCAATGGGGCATCTCCACTGGACATAGTGGGAAGAATTTGCTCCCATGGTGTACTTGGATCAGTTCAGCTTAGGGTATGGTTGGCTGCTGGGTCAAATCAGTGAGGAAAAAAGACTGCCAAGATACTAGCCCTTCACAAACATTCGTGTTGTCTGTCTCACCCTTTAAACACAGTGGTCGCAGTGGAAAGATGCGAGCATTGTCCTTTAAGACTGGCATCGCCTGCCTGTGTGGCACCGAAGTGAAAGAAAAGCTTCAGTGTGAGTATAACTCCAGCATCTTCAGTGATGCCGGCTGGGGGAGGAGGGTTGGAGGGGGAGGAAGGAGGGAGGCCACAAAATAAGCAGAATTTAGATCTTTTGACTCCGCAGAGGAGTGCTTGCGCCACCTGGTGATGTTTTTCAGTCCCCCTGTGCAGCTTCCAGGTCTTAGGCGAGGTTTGAAACTATGGATGGTATGTCCAGAGGGGAGTTGCCAAAGTTGTTGGCCTGGGCTTGAGGAGATCCTAGAAGAGCTGCCCTCTCTTGGAGGGTGGGAAAAGCTGCCTAGTGCACATTCCCACACCCAGGAGGCATCTGCTTTCCCAGTACTGCCACATCTGGGTCTGGTACTGTGCTACTTGGTGCTCTCTCTGTCTCTCTCTGTCTCTGTCTCTGTTTCTCTCTCTGTCTCTGTCTCTCTGTCTCTGTCTCTGTCTCTCTCTCTCTCTCTCATACACACACACCCCTCCCGTCCTCTCCTCTCTCTTCTCTGTCTTTCTCTTCCCTCCCCGCCGTCTTTCTCTCTCTCCCCCGCCTCCCCATCAATATCTATTTGTTAATTTCTTTCTCCTCTGTTCTCCTGAATTCTACCTCTTTGTCACTCTCTCCCCTGTTCTCTCCCTGTCTGTCCATTTCCCCCGACTCTTCCTCTCCCACTGATGACGCCCCATTTGTGTCTGTCTGATTACCCTACCCCAAACTCAGGGATGCTCTTTTTAGAACACTCGGGAGTTGAGATTGGAGATGAATTTCTGGATTCTCCAGTTTCAAAAGTCATTAGTTCAGCAATGTGCTCTTTCTCTGTCCTCCTTTTCTGCTTCTTCTGCCTCATATCATCCTCTGGCCATTCCTAAATTGGGGCTGGCTGTTGTTGATGATGGGCCCCACAGACCTCTTCAGCCAAGTAGCCAATTCCGGCAGCCAGTGTGACCAACGGCATCTTGGTGCCCTGCTTCATGAAGCCATTCAAGTGCCCCGTCAGCTGGGGGAAGTGGCAGCATTTGGGGGCAGCAATGTGGAGCCCAGTGTCCGCAGTTGCTTTCGTTTTGTGAGTATGGAACTGTAGACTCATGGAAGGACGGAAGGGAGATGGGAGGGGTGGTGAGTGGAAGGGAGGGAACCCAGCATCTCAGCTTTTGGTGCAAAGTACTCCAAGGTAAAGGGGATTTTTTTGAGATGGGACAACAGAACTAATGGTCCTCTGGTGTCTGGAGCTGGAGTCCTGCAGGGAAGGGTGTCCACTAAGATAAGGCAGAAGGTGAACACCTCTGGAGGGGGGCTGGTTTCCCTGCTTCACTAAGAGCTGGCTGACACTCAAGCAGCAAGTTACTTGGGCCGGGTCATAGCCATTGGATTTCTTATTTCTCTAGAGCACTGGCAAGCCAGTCATTGAAGCATCCCAGTTCCTAGAGTGGGTCAACTTGGAGCCCCAGTCTATGGTGTGGCTGGCCGTTTTGCATCGGGTCACCATTGCTGAGCAAGTGAAGCATCAGACCAAGTGCTCTATCTGCAGGCAGTGCCCCATCAAGGGGTTCAGGTATGGGACCGAATGCCTGCTGGGTGAGAAAAATGTCATGGGAGGCAACAATGGGTACAAAACGGCATTGTTTAATAGTTATGTTTATAATTTATTTATGGTGTGTTATTGGTGTATTGTTGTAACCTTTTTATTGAAAAATGTTTAACTTCTGAAAAATTAGAAAGGAAATAATTTTTTCCAGTTGTAATACAAAGTACTACAGATTTTTAGAAATATATAGTAAACACTATTAAAAAAAACCCCAAAAACTATGTACCAAATGTTGAGTCAGCAAATATTTCACCATCAGCTTCCCAGAAAGAAAGGAAAAAGAGGAAGCCTGATTTATACCATTTATGATATAAATACTCCCATCATAAATGAACAATAGGTTACACATAAAAGATCTCAGTGCAGAATTGAAAAGATATACATACTCACATGTTTATAGCATTTCCACCATGCAGATGAAGCTCACATATCTCTAATCTAAAAATCTGAGGGGCTGGAGAGATGGCTCAAAAGTTAAGAGCACTGACTACTCTTCCAGAGGTCCCGAGTTCAATTCCCAGCAACCACATGGTGGCTCCCAACCATCTATAATGGGATCCAATGTCCTCTTCTGGTGTGCAGACATACATGCAACAAAGCGCCCATACACATAAAATACATAGTAAATAAATCTTTAAAATCTGAGGTATTTTGTCAATGCCCCATAAGGGGTTTCTGGATTAGCAGACTCTGCCAACAAAGCCTGAGCAAACATGGCATCCAGTACCACAGAAGTAAATGGCCTAGTAGGTATGAACAACCTTCAGCTCTGCAGCTGAGGATGGCCTCGAGTGCAGCCCAACACAAAATCATAGACTTACAAACGTCATGAGGTTTTCTGTAAGTTAATTGCACATTCCTCTCAGCTATGAACTTCATAGATGGCAATATGTTACAGTGTCGACTGACTGCAGCACACTGTAGGGCATGCCAGAGTCAAGCTTACGGGATAAAACAGTACTGAAATTCATTTGAAGCCTCCCTGATTATAATCCACTCCTTCCTCCACAAAGCTAACTGCTCTCAGAAAATACCTAAAGTTTGTCAGTACGCTGCTGAAGACAGAACCCGAGGTCTTGGACATGCTAGGCAAGCACTGAATGCCAGCCTCAATCCATTCAAGCTTTTAGCTTTTTAGAGTGCTAACATATAACTGTCCCTACATACACTCTGCTTTTTTATAACTTGTGCAAACTAGACACGGAAGTGAAAGATGACTGCCCAAGAAAACCGGGCTGTTTAGCTGTAAACCCAGGGGTAGATATTGGCTTATTGAAGGCTAGCCATTTCACTCTTTGATGCTACTGGGACTAGGGAAGGTTAGCCTGCCTTTAGAAGGAGGTGGGAAGGACTGTAGTAGATTCTGTCAAAATATAAATAGAGTTATTATGAAAGACCTTTTAAAACAAACTTCAGCTAACTTAACCACAGCTAGTGAATAAACTGTCTTCCTATTGGAGGTCTAACTTCTTCAGAGTAGGAAAGGGACCTTTGGGGCCATCCTTGTTTAGAAAGCTACCACAGCGAGATGTTTACTCCAACTGGCCCCCTTTAAACTGTGGCTGAAGTCATGCCCTTTCCTACACTTACTGGGATCTGAGACTTGTGGTTTCATGGGGATTTGCGGTCTGTAGAATAAAGCTATTCACATGTTGAGGATTTCACATTGCTAGGTATAGTAGGTTGAGCCCCACTCCCTTCTGTGTGGGTATTTGGACTGGGGAAATGGTGAAGTCAGTGTGTAGCCGGAAGTTTCTCTGATCCCACCTGGCCCTGAGGTCCCACAGCCGCTCATAAAATAATCACTCAGAGGCTTAATATTAATTACAAACTGTATGGCCTAATGGCGCAGGCCTCTTGCTAGCTAGCTCTTTCATCTAAATTAACCCATTCCTATTAATCTATATGTTGTCACATGGCCATGGCATTACTGGTTGCTGGCATCTTGTTGCTCCTTCAGCAGCGGCCTGCGTCTCTCCTGACTCCACCCTTCTTCATCTCATCTTCAGTTTGAATGTGCTGCCTAACCTTATCCTGCCCTGCCATAGGCCAGTGCAGCTTTATTTATTATCAAATGGGACCCACACACATTCACAGCATACAGAAAGACATCCCACGGCAACTGTGATACACTGGATTGTCTTTGTGACCCCAAGTGTCTTGTGACACTTTTTGTCTTCTCTCCCCAAGGTACCGGAGTCTGAAACAGTTTAACGTGGATATCTGCCAGACCTGCTTCTTGACAGGCAGGGCCAGCAAAGGCAACAAGCTCCACTATCCCATCATGGAGTATTACACACCGGTATGGAGCCTCTGCACCAGGTGGGAGGGTTGGCATCTATCTCTCAGACACTAGGCTTTGGTCTTCCGCATAGCATTGGCACGTGGCAGCTCTCCTGGTGGAACATTCTCTGAGTAGTAGGGATTCACTGGTTTGGAGGTTTCAGGCCCCTCCAGTCTTCCGTCACAGCTTCTCTGTCACTGGGACTGCAGTTGACTGAGGGTACTCTTAGTCTTTTAATGAGCATTAGCTGTTTTGCTGCAGAAAGATGTCCCAACGGAAAAAAAGAGCAAGGTGGTTCCAGGTACCCCCTCCTCTTCTCACGTGAGTTTTCCTGGCTAGCTTCTCCTATGGCTCCTATACTGTCATTGGGTCTTTTCTTGCTACTTTGTTGTTTGTTTGTTTTTTCTACCCCTTCTTGACAGTACCAAAGTCTGTGCTCAAATTACTCAGTCCATTAAAAGGAAAAAGATTTTTTAGTCTCTACTCACAAATTGTACTTGGTTTCCATGGGCAGCCTTCCCTTCGCAGCTGCCTGAGCCCATCTTGGTCAACTTCGGTGAACTCAGCCACAGGGTTGCTACCCGTGTAGCCTCCTGAGCTCGTTCCCTCGATGTCTTTTAAGATTTATTCATTTTTAATTTTATGCATCTGGATGCTTTGCCTGCATGTATGTCTGTGGACCACTTGCGTGACTGGTGCCCGAAGAGGCCAGAAGAGGGTGTCAGGTCCCTTGGAACCGGAGTGACAAACAGTGTGGGTTGCCCTGTGGGTGCTGGGAATCGAACCCCAGTCCTTTGGAATAGCAGTGCTCTTAGATTCTTTCAGAACCTCAAGTACACTCCAACTGACTTCCTCTCCCACCCTGCCTCTCCATTTCAACCTGTTTCTCTATAATCCACTTTTCTAAGGTGTTATCTTCAAATTGTTTTAGCACAGGAATATGTGGGCCCATGGGAGTAGGGGCCATGCCCTTCAATTCACCTTTCTTATCATTTACATAAAACATTATAAAGGGCAAGCAGAGAAAACTAGCTAGAAGAGGTAAGCGGATAATCCTCGGCCTCCTGTTCATCTTCTCAATTCCTAGAATTTGTAGAAAAGGGGCAGCAAGATGGGATAGCAGGTAAAGGCACTTTCTGCCAAGCCTGATGACTGGAATTTGATTCCTTGAACATACATGGTAGAAGAAGAGAACCAACTCCTGCAAGTTGTCCTCTGACTGCTTGCATATCACAGTGTGTGCATGCAAACACACACACAGAGTAAATAAAATTTCAAATTTTAGTCATTAAAAAGATTTTTATATAATAATTTTATTTTTTGAGAACTTCATAAATGAGCACTACATCTACATATTGTTCCCTCTCCAACTTTTCCTGTGTCCCCTCCCAAATGCATGATCTCCTCTTTAATTGTTTAATTGTTGTTGCATATATATGTATATATACACGTGTGCATACACACGTGTATATATACATATATATGCACACATGTATATACAACCTACTGAGTCCATTTAGCTTTGCTATATGTCCATGTGTCCAGGGCTGACCACTTGGGATTGGACAACCTCTGGGAGCTTGTCCCTGGAGAAGAATGGTTCTTTCTCTCTCAGCAGGCATTGACCCCTTGTAGCTCTTCATCGAGGGTGGGACCATGTGGAATTTCCATCTGTGTTGGCATGTCAGCTGGTATTGTCACTATGGATACTATTTTAGAGATCCACAACTAATCAAAATGTAGATATTAAGTAACTGTGGGCGGCCCGACTCCAACTGACTGATCTTCAACACGAACCCTGCACGTAAGATTAGGGACAATCGCCGGGCGGTGGTGGCGCACGCCTTTAATCCCAGCACTTGGGAGGCAGAGCCAGGCGGATCTCTGTGAGTTCGAGGCCAGCCTGGGCTACCAAGTGAGTTCCAGGAAAGGCACAAAGCTACACAGAGAAACCCTGTCTCGAAAAACCAAAAAAAAAAAAAAAAAGATTAGGGACAATCACAGAAAGGGGCATGGAAAGATTGTAAGAGCTGGAAGCCCCATGACACTTGCTATGAGACAGTGTCTTCTGTGTTTGGCAGCAAAGAACCCATGAACTTTCAACAGTATGGTTACCTGAACAAGCCCAGCATAATAGCAAAAAAAAAACAAAAAAAAAAAAACCGTTATCATAAAATGTAGCAATTGCATGCTTACTGCAAAAGATTCAAACTCTGCAGCTAGAGATATTTAAAGTTTCACATGAAAATCTTCCTTCCTCCTCACTCTGGCCCTCACCCCTCCAGTCTCCCTTCCCAGAGTTCAGAGTTAAGGGTATATTCTTTGAGACATTTGGACGGGGGCGTGGGGGGGGGAGCGGTATGGTGGGCACAAACAACATTGGGATGCCAGTCACATTCTGTGGTCTAGTGGAAGACTCACAACACCTCATAGTGTCTGGAAGCCACTAGGGTGGGTCCCCCTGTCCTGTCTTCCTGCAGACCACATCCAGTGAAAACATGAGGGACTTTGCCACAACCTTAAAGAATAAATTCCGCTCAAAGCAGTATTTCAGCAAACACCCTCAGCGAGGTTACCTGCCTGTGCAATCAGTGCTGGAGACTGACTGCAGTGAGACGTGAGTACTGATGGCTGAGCAGAGCCTGTGCATGACCTCCTCCAGCTCACTTCCGTGCTGGGAAGGGGCTGAGTCCCAGATGAGCTGGAGAATGTTCCCGAGGGAAAACCCCTAGCCGCGAGGCACATCAGCTTGAGTCTGACTTAGACTCTGGCCCGAGAAATAGAGTAGGAGCCACTTCTTGTATGTTATTGCCATCTTGGCAGTGTAGGGGTGGGAGTGGTGAGGAGACAGCATTTCAGTCGCCTTTGGTCCTCTGAATCTTTGCTGCTTTTTTCCAGACCGGCTTCTTCCCCGATGTTGCCACATGCTGACACACACTCTCGAATTGAGCATTTTGCCAGCAGGTACCACTGCATTTCAGTGGAGGATGGGGTGGGGACTGTAGGAAGTTCAAGGACAGGGAGAATTAGAATGAACCAGGGGAGATACAGAGTGGAATGTGCCACGGCCATCAAGGGCCAACCTTTAGTGGTGGTAGGTGGGGGGCAGCTCCGTAAGCCAGGTATCGTGTTGTGCCATTAGCATGCTGGAGGTGGAGGCAGGCCCCGCACCCTGCTTTCTCTCCTACCGTGGCTCTCTCTTTCTAGGCTTGCTGAGATGGAAAGTCAAAATTGTTCCTTTTTCAATGGCAGCTTGTCCCCGGATGACAGCATGTGAGTTTCCACAGCTGCTGATTTTCCAGAAATAGCTGTCCTTGGGATCCTTCTGCCACTGTTTGGGAATGGGAGGCTGGTGGCTAGGGTCCTTGATTCTCCGAGGAAGGAGGGCTGCTTCCTGACTACACTGTTTAGTAAGAGAAGCAATTCTCCATCTGTCAACTGAACCATCTACTCAGGCCCCTTCTATCATAAGATCCCGTCCTTCCACGCTCAAATTAGAGGGGAAAAAAGCCCCTGTCTAAAGTTACAAAACAGAGCTGTTGTTTGTGCTCAAGATACAAAACCCCGTTGTATGCCATGGCCACCCTAGGAGAAAGCAGAGACTCGACTGAAGTGTGCCCTAAGGGAGCAGTGTGCTAGAGCACTGAGAGATGCCCTTGCATCTCTAAGGGAGGCCTCTTGCCTGTGAGGAAGGCCCAGGGACAGCTGACTACGTGGAACAGTCTGGTCCTGACTAGGACTCTGATCCTTCTGGGACATGAGAAGGAAGGAAAGGGGACAGGGAAAGGGAAACGGCCCAGACAGAAAAGTGATTTTCTCATTATACTCAAGAAGACCTCAGACACCTCAGCATCCTGGAAATCTCTCCCAGTCCTCTCTCAGATACTGCCTCTTTCAACTTCCCAAAGCCTGAACTCGAGGCCTGGCTTTCTTTATGTGACTTCAAAGTGGATCTGCCAGCACGCATTTCCCGGGGGCTGAGCTGGGATCTGAGGCCTGGATCCCTGACTTGTGTCTGTGCTCAGCACCTGACCACCTCCTTTCCTCTCCCCACACCCATGCAGAGATGAGGACCAGTACCTGTTGCGGCACTCCAGCCCCATCACAGACAGGGAGCCAGCCTTTGGACAGCAGGCTCCATGCAGCATGGGCACAGAAAGCAAGGGGGAGCTAGAGAAGATCTTGGCCCATCTAGAAGATGAGAACCGGTAGGTGTGGCCATGGCATAAATTTGTGTGGTGCCAGAGGCTGGTGGCTTGAGTTTCAATAGTGATACTTCATGTGTTATACAACCTGGATCAAGTCACTTACATCCTATGATCTTCCATGTTCTCAGCCGTATAGTAGGGATAATAACGATACCAATTTCCCAGGGTTACTTTGAAGACCAGATGTAATATAATCCCGACTTTTCCAAGTACCCACTAGGTACAGGTAGAGAGAATGCTGGAAGAATGCAGAAGAGAATCTAACCTGTGCTTGCTCTCGAAGAACTTTCTGTACTAAAACTAGAAAGAACTAGTTGATACTGAGTGAAAGTATCCCAGAGGGTTTTGACATTCCATACAGCATTTCAAACCAGCAGACACAAAGTACCAGGGATGGCATTAATCTCCACAAAAGAAGAAGTGGCTTCATGGGCCTGAGGAAAGTTGAAGGCTCTTGGAGGGAGGGAAGAAACATCTGCAGAGCCTCTTGGAGCAATACTTTACGAGCCTTAGTGTACACAGGAGTCAATTGCAAAGCTTGGGGAGATGCAAGTCCTAACTCCTCTGTGTGTGTGTGTGTGGGGGGGTGTGCCTGGGTTTCTGTTTCTAACTAGCTGACAGGGATGTTAGTGTTCACTGGTCCACATGCCTCCCTTGGAATGGCAAGCCTTAGAACAGTGTGCCTTGAGTGGTGGAGTGCAGGTGAGGACTAGTTTGCAAAGTGTGTGTCACCAGCCCAGGAAAGATAAACACACAAAGGGTTTAGAGTAAGGGTTTAGAGACTGTTCTAGCAAAGTTGACGTTGTCAGCGTGAAGCACATAATTAGTGGTCCATCACAGTGAATAGGCTAGAGATCAATTTGAGTGTTGTTGAACTTGTGGGGCAAGGGGTGGCAGTGATGTGAACTATGGGCTAGTTGTGAACATTAGGACAACCCATCATTACACAATGGAGTGAACTAAGGTCAAAACCCTGGTTTCTCACTAGGGACTGTTTGAGAACAGCTACATTAAAGCAATAGGGAGCAGGCACTGGGAAATGCTAGGAAGCGTGATTCTGTTTGCCCAAACAACAGAAAGCATTGTGCCTAAAAGTAGGCTGTTTCTTTGGAGTGTTTCCTTGATGAACCATTATGAGCATCTAAAGCAGGTCAAGTTGCAGGGCTGTAGTGAGAAGAAGCAGACTAGATGAGCTCTTTATTTATGCTATGTCTTCCCTTAGAATCTAAAAATCTATAAGTAGGCTAGGTAAGCCATTGGCACTAATGCCTCTTTTATTTGTAGAACATGTTCTTAACTGCCTTTGAAGGTCAAAATTAATCCCCAAAGCATCAAAGGCCTAAGACATTTTTTGTGTGAAATGTCAGCTCACTGCTCTGAGGCCTCAGGATGGCAGAGTAAATGTCAAATAGGCTGGAGAGGAAGTGGCTGTGGCCATTTCAAGCAGAGCATTGCCAGGGCTTGGGTTAGGAGAGCACAGTGATCCCTCACACTTGGGAAAGAGGGGACCTGTAGAATCTGGATAGCGAGCTGACCCTGTTAAAGCCCTAGGTCTTGGCTTCCATGTCCATGGCAGGATTCTCCAGGGAGAGCTGAGGCGCCTGAAATGGCAGCACGAAGAAGCGGCAGAGGCCCCCACCCTGACCGAGGGCTTCAATGCAGTGACCCCAGACCACCGCAATGAAGAGCTTCTGGCTGAAGCCAGGATCCTGCGGCAGCACAAGAGCCGCCTGGAGACGCGCATGCAGATCCTTGAAGACCACAACAAGCAGTTAGAGTCTCAGCTGCAGCGCCTGAGGGAGCTGCTCCTGCAGGTGAGGCGGAAGATGGAGGAGGAGGGCAGTCCCTGACTCAGGAAGAGGGCATAGAGAGCTGGGGGTGCAGCAGAGGAAAGAGAAAGCGCCCCTGGCCATGGCACAGTCAGGTGACTTCTTGAGAAGAGCTGACTGGCAATCGGGATGAAGGGATGAAGAAGGAAATGGGCAGTATGGCTCCATCCTTAACCAGTCTTCTTCCCATTCACTTCCATACCACCTCTGTGTGTCCCTTCCAAGCTACCTCCGGCCTGGAGGCAGAGGAAGGACTTCTAAGGACTTTCTAGTTCATAGCCCGTTGGAATCTGGTATTAAAAGAACACACTTCAAAAACCACCTGCAGCAAAGGGGCTCAGGCAGTAAAGCACCAAGCACAAGCAACTAGGTTGGATCTGCAGAGACCATTAAAAAAAAAAACCAGATGTGGTGACACACACTTGGATCCCCATGCCAGGGACGTGGGTTACTGGTGCTTGCTGGCCAGCCCAGCCTACTCGGTGAGTTCCAGGCCCGAGAATGACTCTGTCTCTTTAAACGAAGGAAAGAATACAGAAAAGAAAGGTGAACAACACCTGAGGACTCACACCCAAAGTTGTGTTCTGGCCTCCACATACATGTACACTCAAATAAAGTGTGCTCACGCACGCACACATACACACCAACACACAATCCAGAATGTGGCATTTTCAGGTTTGGACAGGTTTGGCAAGAGAAATATTTTACAATATTGCTCTTTTGTTGCATTTTGCCCTTTCTGTCTCTGGGACGTTCGGCAGCTCTGGGGGCGTCAGACAGCCTGGCTTTGAATCTACACTGTCAGGTAGTGACTGGGAGGTGCTGGGAACATTCTTTAACCTTATTCGGCCCCAGTTCTCTTTAAATGGAGGTAATGATAATACTAGCTATATTTTTTAAGTGAAACAAAATAATGGAGCTGAAGAGATGGCTCAGCGGTTAAGAATGCTTGCTGCTCTTCCAGAGGAGCAGAGTTCAGCTGCCCAGCACCTATGTAGAGCAGCTCACAAATGAGTAACTCCAGGTCCGGGGATCGGACAACTTCTTCTGGCCTCTGGAAGCACCTACACACGTGTGGCATACACTCACAGATGCATACACAGAAATAAAAATGAAAATAAATCTTTGTTTAAAGGACCAGCAAGATAGCTCAGCCAGTAAAGTCCTTGCCACACAGGCCTGACTACTTGGGTTCAATCCCTGGAACCCACATAAAGGTGGAAAGAGAGAACTAACTCCATCAAGTTGCCCTATGGCCTACACATGTGCTCTGTAGCACATATGAGTTTACACACACCACACACATATACACAGTAGCAATAATAAATAAAATTTAAAAAGTAATGCCACCGACATCATAAGATTGTAATCATCCTAAAAATCAAATAATGTGCTAGCGGTGATGGCACACATCTTTAACCCCAGCACTCGGGAGGCAGAGGCAGGTGGATCTCTGAGTTCAAGGCCAGCCCGGTCTACAGAGCGAGTTCCAGGACAGTCAGGGCTACACAGAGAAACCCTGTCTTGAAAATCAAACAAATAATTAAATAATACATAGCGCAGGATTCAGCAAGATACTAGGAATATAGTCCACTAATCAAATACGTTAACTGTCATTGTCATCATATGCAGCAGACGGTGGCACCCTGTCTCTGGATTATCCAAAGTACAGCCTGTTTTTTTTCTTGACCAATTTTTTTTTTTTTTTTTTTTTTTTTTTTTTTTTGGTTTTTCGAGACAGGGTTTCTCTGTGTAGCTTTGCGCCTTTCCTGGAACTCACTTGGTAGTCCAGGCTGGCCTCGAACTCACAGAGATCCGCCTGGCTCTGCCTCCCAAGTGCTGGGATTAAAGGCGTGCGCCACCACCGCCCGGCATGACCAATTTTTAAGTTAACATTCAAAGTAGTGTTTTCATCATGGCCTTTTTGTACATATTTGTGTGATCATACTTCGTTCTCATCTATTCTCCTTCCCCATTGCCCTCCTCTGTGCCCCCTCAAGCTCATTCCCTTCCTTCCCCCCACCAGCCCCCCATTCTCCTTTTTTATGACATGTATTTCATTGCCCTCTCTAGTTCCAGAGACAGTATTTAATGAATCCCTTGAGTTGTCTGACGTATGCTGTTGTGTCGTGAACTGAAAATTTGGTGTGTAGCGGTGAAACTCCAGGAAACTGGGGCTCTAAACAACTTAATTACAGTGGAAATGACAGCAAGAGACCTTTAGGTGTAATGCCGTTCCTATAAGAACCAGGAGCCAGGCCGGGTGGCGGTGGTGGCGCATGCCTTTAATCCCAGCACTCAGGGGGCAGAACCAGGCGGATCTCTGTGAGTTCCAGGCCAGCCTGGTCTACAGAGCGAGATCCAGGACAGGCACCAAAGCTACACAGAGAAAGTCTCGAAAAAACAAACAAACAAACAAACAAAAAAACAACAACAACAACAAAAGGAACCAGGAGCCTTTGACTCATCTTGTTCAAGGAAGAATTTAATTGATAATTGTGCGGTCTAAGAGGTTTCTTAAAGGGGAAAGTCATGGTTTATGGCACTATGAAAAGCTTCTTAAAGACCCGGGGCATAAGGCTGGACATGAGGTCTCTAAGGTCTCTTTTGAAGCTCAGGAATCTAAGAATGAGGTTAGGAAGGCAAAGCCACTCAAATCATGCCTTACCTCTTGCTAGCCACCTACTGAGTCAGACGGCAATGGTTCTGCAAGCTCATCCCTAGCTTCCTCTCCACACCAGTCAGAAGGGAGTCATCCCCGGGAGAAGGGCCAGACTACTCCAGACACCGAGGCAGCAGGTAAGTGCCCCATCTAGCCCCTTCCTCCAGCGATTGGTCCTACCTTTGATTACCTGCTCAAAGTTTTACTAGAGCTTGGGACTAGGGATGTGTATAATTGATTTCTTAACGGTTTCTCTCATATGTGTCTTCTAAAAAATGTCTAGTGAGTGCCTCCTACATACTAGTCTTTCAAAGGGAGGATGAGAATACTCTTGACCTACTGTCCAGCCAACAGCAGCTTGCTTCTGCCTCTTGGCTTCCTTCTTATAAAGGAAATCTCAAGTAGTCTTCCCCGATCTCTCTCTTCCAACGTAGATGATGTGGGGTCAAAGAGTCAGGATGTCAGCCTATGCTTAGAAGACATCATGGAGAAGCTCCGTCATGCCTTCCCCAGTGTGCGAAGCTCTGATGTGACGGCGAACACCCTGCTGGCCTCTTGATGGAGTCGGATCCTCATCCTGTAGTCCTTTTCCTTTCCTGCTTCTTGTCAAAGCCTTCCCTCAACCTTTGCCCAACCTTTCTACTACCCACTGGCTCCACATTCCTCAACCAGAGATATTTGGACCTGGGGCAGCAGCAGGGGATGTGATGGTATGTGAGATGGGGGGTGGGGGTGGGGGAGGACAGGTGGGCTTCCTCTAGAAAGGTTCCCATTAATCCTTGAGATTGAGCCTGTCCCTATGTTATCCTGCTGTTGCAGCCCAGGCAAAGGCAAATCACACTTGTCATGCAGATGAGGAGCAGAGAATTACCTTGCAGAGCTAAGCAGTGCCCACTGGCCCCTTTCTGTCCTCCATGGAATCATGGAGAGGAAAGCATAATGGCCCCAGGGTGTCCGCATTATGGACCCCCGGAGGGGTTAGGCCTACTCTCTGGCCCACTTGAAAGAGGCAAATGGGTATCCCTGAGGCACCGGTCCAAAGTGCCCCTTAGGGAAGTCTGGGCAGTGTAGGTCCTACTACTTCAGCTCCAGAGCATAGTTTTCACCTTCAGAATTCTACCTGCATGGTTCTTACTCAACCATGTGACTTCCTCCCGCCACAGTACCTGTCAGATCTTCTCTGATGGGGGAACAATTCACCGTGGCTGTGCTTCCACCCTGTTTGGGGGACCATTAAAGACATACTTGTGGATTTCTAGTCCCTACTCCCGATCCTCCTGTTTCCTGAAGACCGTGGCATCCCAAGAGACTCCTTGAGATGCTCTCGTACCCATATGAAGCCACTCTTTGGTCTTCTGAGTCTGTCCTCACAGATCTGGGGCAGGAGTGGCAGCCTCTTCAACAAGGATGCCTTGCTCTCGCTCTCTCCCCTTGGGTAAGAGGAAAAGAAACCCTCTATCCTAGGGGAATGTGAGCCTGCACTCTCCAAGCTATAACCACTTGAGAGCATAGGCTGGATTAGGTGAGGTGGCTGATTGGCCCCAGCTGCTCACTGCAAAGTTCCAACTGACCAGCCTGAATAGTGGTCCCTGCCTAGAAGCCACTAGACTTGAATCCGAAAACTGGCCACATTCCACCCAGAGAGCAGCAAGGTCTTCCTGTGCATAAAACTGTTGCTAACTCTGAAATGTGAACCCAGTCCTCAAAATGAACTAACTTTTCCTAGACTGTATATACCGTGATTCCTTTGTCCAGCAACCGTTCCAAATAGAGTGTGGAGGTGGGAAGAGCTGGCTGGGGAACTTGGAGTGGAGCCAGAGCCCACTTGGGCTACTTTCTCCAGAGGAGAGCTTTCTCCCCAGAGCTGTGCAAGTGACTAAATTTTGAGTTTACCCATCCATACATATCTATTCTACATATCTACTGGACATCAGTGCTCTCCCAGCCTCATTCACACATTCAATTCTAATACTTCTTGAAGAATTAGTGCCCTGCCTTGCTCTTCGTTAGTCTCAGTCTCTGGTTGGGAAGCAAGATCCACCCTGGTTGTGCCCTAGGATGTTTCTCTCCATTGATATTTGAGGTGAGCTGACCTTAATACCAAAGCAGTGGAAGTCCGTGGCCACAGAGTAATCAAACAGGAAGAGACATTCTGCTCTCTTCACTAATTCCAAACTTTGTTCCTCTGAGACTTGGTCCTTACGGATTTTTTTCTGGCCACCCCTAAACAATGATTTAGGAGCCAAAAGAGAAGACATCCAACCTCTATCCATTCCACACAGAAAAGAAGGAACAAAAGGTGTATGATAGCCTTTGCCAGGCTAAGACATAGAATAGATACTATGGTCCCCTAAGTTCCTAAAGTCTAGCTCATGGCCTTACATAATGCAGTGGTTGTCACCAAGGTCAGCAGGAGTGAGATGGTTGGAGTTCTGGTTTATAAACCTAGCCATGGTCAACATGTAGAACTGCTAGGAACCTAGACTGATTTATTCTGGGTACATAGAGCAGTAGCTTGACTCAAGGAGCCAAGATTGCATTCTCCCCAACTAAGCTACAGGTTTAGGGGTCAAATTTCATGTCTGGAGGTCTCTGGGCCCAATAACTGGGTATCTGTTTATGTGGTGAGCATTTGGTAAGCAAGCATCAAACACAGAGCCAGGTCATCATCAGAATGAGGCATCTTTGTAGGGGCCTAGATTGTGGGCAGTATTCAGATAAATTTGTTGTGGAACAGAGGACTCAGAAACTATCAAGTGTGTGCCTCCCTACGCCTGCGGAGGACAGATACTATGGAGCCATCTTTTATGAGAGTCCTTTCCTTAGCCTCCACTAAAGAGCTCTGAGGCTGCTGAGGGTCTGTGACAACTGCGTTGGACTGGAATTGGTAGAAAAGATGTTGATCTTGTCATGTAGGATTTGTGCTGGAGGTAGACCGAAGCAGCAAGTCAGGGTTGAAGCCTCGCTAAGGGAGTCACTGGCACTTTGCCATCTTGTGTTTAGCCGCAATGCCGAAGGTGAGCATATTGCTCAAGGGTCCACTAGCAGTCCTGGCTGCACACGTAGGCAGCTTGCATGCCGTGATGAAAAAGGCTCCTTGGACAGCAGTGTAAATCCACACTGGAGATGAAGTTAGCAAAGATGCGTTCTATGTTTTGGGGGAAGTTGTGTGTTGTAACTCCTAAAGGAGTCTTGTGTAAGGTATGACTGGGAGGTAGCTAATGAGTTGCTGGGTTAGTAGCCTAAGGAAAAACCTTCTGACTTAAGAGATTAGTATCTGTGATGAGGAACGTGTTTACTGGACGTGTTATCAAATAGTGGAGGCAATTTATTCTGGACAGAATTCGATAGAGAACAATAAGCCATTGGGAGGGTAGCTGTGCTTTCAGTTAGAGCATTGATTGGCAATTGTTAGGGAAGGCTGACTGGCTGGAAAACATAAGGCTGTGGTACACAGTTCATTTCCTAGAGAGTGTTCCACCAAGGAGGAAATGTGCCCTTCTCTTCAGATTGCAAAGGTTGGAATAAAGGCTCTCAGTGTATCTCTCAAGTCCCAGAGTGAGGCAGTCTTTCCCTATGGAGAAACCTGCTTGCGATTGCAGGTGTTTTGTGAACTGGTCTGGCAGACCACACTAGTTAAAAACAAACTTAGGGGAAAGGCGGAGGCCAAGCCCGGGAGATCTTTATCACCAGATTAGTTCTAAGGAATAGCCTTGCTTCCTGGGGCGTGTGGGGTACGTGTTTTAAAAGGGTTTCGGGGCTTCATGTCCAGCTTTAGGCTAGAGCATTTTTTGAACTCATATTTTCAGTGGCAGAGCTGTGGCCTTTGGGACCATTTTCTGTCAGTAATTCCATCCAATTTCCCTTGATACTGTTGACAGATAGCCAGCCAAGTTGCTGCCTTATTATGGACAGTCCTGGGAGAGAACCTGGAGGCACTCCCCTAAGTCTGTGGGCATTTAGCTCCTCAGCTGGGTAGCCCAATCTGTGGACCTCCCTGCAGAAAGCTGGTACTTGGAACAAAGAAGTACTTCTTACTGGTTTGACACTTGTGACTCAAGGCCAGGGCTCCTGTCCTCCTCCTCCTCACTTGTCATGTTTGGGAGGAGACCTGATGAATGTCCTTGCTGTCCCCACGGCAGTATTAAGGGCAGACTGAAATCGGCAGGAACAAATCAAAAGGATGAAAATTAGGGATGGGATCGGGGAGGAGGTGTCAAGAAAGGCATGCAATTGTCTAAAAGTTTGGGATTAAAGGTCGGGGCTAGGAGCAAATGGGTTAACATCAATTGCCACTCACTGTGGTGCTTTTCCCATTTTATCCTTGAATTCTGCTTTAAAAAGAATAAATTTGTATTTGTTTACTTCGGTCCCTCTGGTTATTTTCTCCAATTATGACATTCTACCCTCCTCCAATATTTCATCATGGAAAGAGAAGAGCTAGGTCAAGAAGCCACAGAGAGAGACACTGTCACACTGGCCTAGTTACCTCTCTTCATGGCCCCTTCAAGTGTCCTTTTCCAAAAAGAAGAGCTCACTTTACAGGATAAGTAATGGTTCCGAAATTTTCTCATTGATCTGAGTTTTTTCTAGTAGGTGAAACAATATGAGAAAAATCAGGGCCACTGCCATGAGTGTCCATGAAAACATATCAATTCAGTTACCAGGGCCACTGCCGTGAGTGTCCATGAAAACATATCTATTCAGTCACCAGGGCCACTGCCGTGAGTGTCCATGAAAACAAATCTATTCAGTTGTGCTCTATCTTTTATTCTGAGATTGTGGCTATATATATTTTTTTTTGTGTTAAAATGTCCCCATGCACTTATGATGATCATTTTATTTAATGCCATTTCATGGCAAAATAAAGCTTCATCTGCACCAATTTTTCTTTCCTTGCCAGTCCATAGCAATGCTGTCCAATACAAATGCAAGCCACATCCATAATTTAAAAATTTAAAGCACATCTAAAACATAAAGCTAAATATGGGGAATTCATTTTAATATTTTAGCTCACTGAACAAATACTATCCTTTCAACTATAGATTTATAATTAATATTATTATTAATTTAAACAATTATTTTAATATTTTGCCTGTTTTTCCTAAGTCTTCAGAATTGTCAAGATGTCAGCTTGTGATAAGATGAGAATCCAGATACATACAGTTTATTACTTACAGAGATAACAAAAAAGGAATAGTGCTATAAGCTCCCGGGGCCTTTTGTCTCAAAGGATGCTGCTGAAATTAAAGGGTTCAGATGACATGTGAGATGGTGGACCCCTGCTGTTGAGTTGCCAGTGTTATATTGTAGCTGAGCAGGGCTGCGGCCTGTAGCTGGACCGCAGAAGCAGAAAGCCCTCCATCCTACAATGAGGAAGGCTGATGAGACACTGCGTTATGGTAGCCTCCATCAAGATAGGGAGGTGAGTAAACAGTCTTGTAGTCACCTTTATACGTCACTTCCTGTGTTCTGGGAAAGTCACAGGGTCTTCCACCAAGACCCTAGTCAACTTGACGCTGGGTTTTACCTGCATGGCCCATGTGGACGGTGCAAGATTTCAGGGTACCAGCACCAAGCATTTCTCCTATAGAAATCCAGTATATAATGCTCATTTACACACATCTCAGGTATGGATAGCTATATATTCGGCATGGCTTGCAGATACCCTATTAAAGATCACAGGACTCTAACATGTCAAGCAATCAGCGAGCTGGGCAAAGGAAAACCTTAAAGGTGTCAGTGTGTATACACACCTTAAAGTATGTATATGCCCATGTTAAGTTTGGTGAATCACGGCAACAAACACTTTGTGAAGGAAGCAATGGGAAAGCAGTCCCGTGGATGACACTGAGGAGTGGCACTAGAGGGGACAGGTGCACTTAAGATGTGCAAACGTGTCTTTATCTGTTTGTATCGTCCGATCTCCTTCCCTGCCTCTCAGCAGAACTCTTGGCTGCTCTCCAGCCACAGTATTGGACAGAGCCTGCGTGAAAGGTCTCCTCCACCTCTCACTCCCGAATGCCACCTGGGGCACACATGCCACCCTTACTGCTTCAGCCTGTCCAGTGTGTGTTTTAGATCTTTCTGCTGTCCCAGTCCTCCACCTTGGCTGCCCTGGAACGTTTTTCTCCATTTCAAATTCAGCCTCTTGGCCTAGCCTGACATAGAATTTCTTTTCCCCATTATCCTTCTCTTTCTTCACATCTTTTCGGTTCTATGTGTTTCTAGAAAACAATTTTATATCATCTTTGCTTTTAAGATTTTCTCATACTTCTCTTCCAATATTAGCTTGACTTTGTTTGGACATGCTTATGTCCTTTGGTCCTACTTCTTTCCACGTATTTCCCTTAGCATTCCTGCTGTCTTTGGCCTGTGTTCCCAGGCCCCACCCATACATACTGATTTACTCTTCTCTTCCCAGTGCTTATTTTCATTTGGGAGAGAGCACTAAAGATGGTACAGAGAACCTAAGTGTGTGTCTCTTAGAGCAGCGTTCATTTTTTCTATTGGAACCAGACCTGGGCCCTAGCTGGGCAGTAAAAACCTACAAGGCCTCCTGGTGATAAACTGGCCACCTCTGATAACTAGATGACGGCTCGAAGAGGTGACTTACCTACAAATGGTGGAGCTGCAACTGCAACCATGTATTCATTCTACTACATGAATATTTGGTTCAAACACTGGAGCTGCTAATTTGTATTTCTTCTCTCTATCTTTTTCTCCAAATCCCAGTGTTATATAGTTATGACGTGATGGCTTGCTCGTTTCAAAGGGACATAGGCTGTTTTGTAACCCAAGAACTTTTTTGAAGGACTCTCTAGTATTGATGGCACCTTATGTCATTTCCCATCAGAAAATGCTACACTGTGAATGTGTCCACCTAACATTTTTATGTTAAAACGTCATCTACAATATAGTGTTTTTAACATATGGGGCTTTTGAGTGCGATTAGGTCAAGAAGGCCTGAGTAATACCCGTATAAAAGAGGCCTGGAGAATATTTTTGCTCCTTCTTCCATGTAAAGATGCTCAAGAAGTCATGATCTGTAAGTCAGGTTGTATGCCATCAGGGTCAGATTACATCTGTGGATGCCTTGATATTACATTTCTCATCCTCTAGGGGTCTGAGCAATAAACTTATATTACTTATAATTTAAGGAAACTATGGTATTTTTGTTATGGTAGCCTAAATGGACCAAGGCAGAGTTTACTGTTGTGTTTTAATACGATCCTGATTCTTGTACAGCAATGAGGGTAGGAGGTTTAGCTTAGTGGAACAGTACTTGCTTAGCTTGTGCAGAGCCTTGAACTTGATCACAAGCACCACAAAAAAATCGACATTTGTTTCAAATAAAGTTTTTTTTCTTAAAGCACATGTACCAGAATATCATAATGACATAGCCCTTAAGAAATCCAGGGTTTATGAACTGCTCAGTGTTTCTAGGCCTGGCAGACTCTGGAGGACAAACACAGAATTCACTCACAAGCCCATCTGGGTGCAGAGGCACCAGGCTATCAGACATTATTATGGTGAGTGAGTACAGGGTGGCAAAATGGAAGAGAGAGGCAGGACAATTCATGTGCTGCGGAGAGAGACAGATCTGAATAAGCAAGGGTGGTGAGGAATGGGCTTAGGTAGATGCCCTGCTTGCTACCCAGGGCCATGGCGATGTTTGGGCCTGGACTGCAGCCAAGGGCCATGACTTGGTCCATGACCCTAATGCAGCTGTTGGGGTCTGTGTTGATATCTATGGCTCCTGCTACCACTGAGGGCCTTATGGTTGCCTTTGAGCCACTATCTGTGACCATGTTGATGTCCAAAGGATGTGCCCCCCACAGGGGCTACGTCAATCCTGGATTCCTGTACTGCCACCCAGGACCATAGTGACATCCAGCCAGACTGCTGCCTGGGGTCATGTCTGGGTCCGTGGCCCTGCTGTGGCCAGGCTCTGAGTTGACATCCACGGCTCCTGTTACCACCAAGGGTTGTGCAGAGGCCCCCAGTCTGGGCTGACACCTGATACCATGTTGGTCTTAGAGGGTTAAGCTGCCACCACTAGGACCATATAGACCTTGGTGGCCCATGCTGTCCCCCCAGGTCATGGTGTCCTCTGGTCCTGAACGGTGGCTGTGGGCCATGTCTGGGTCTATGGTCCTACCTCAGCCAGGGTCTTTGTCAATGTCTGTGGCTCCTTTTACCACTGAAGGCTGAGCAGATGCCCAGGGTCTGGGCTGCCACCTAGGAACGTGCTGGCATTTGGGGGCCATGCCACCACTGGGACCATGATGATTTGTGTGATCTGCAATGGCAACTAGGGCCACAATGACATCCAGGCCCAGGCTGTTGCCAAGGACCATGTCTGGGCCTGTGGTTCTACTGCAGCCTGAGTCTGTGCTGATGTTCATGGCCTGTGCTGCCACCAAAGGCCACACTGATGCCTGGCATCTGGGCCTCCCCCTGTGGCCTTCTTGGTGCCTGAGGGCTATACTGCTGCAGAGTCCATATAGACCTGAATGACATGCACTGCCACTCAGGGCCAAGGTGTTATATAGGCCTGAACTACAGCCAGGGCCATGTCTGGGTCTGTGGCCCTGCCATAGCCAGGGTCTTTGATGTCTCAGGCTCCTGTTCCCATTGAAGGCAGTGCAGATACCCAGGATCTGGGCCCACACCTGGGGTCATGTGGGGGTTTGAGGACAACAGGGTTGTTGGGTCCATGCCAATGTAAGTGACCTGCACTGCCAGCTGGGGACATGGTGACATCTGGGCCCTGGCAGCTGCCAAGGACCATGTTTGGATCCGTGGTCCACCCACAACTCGAGTTTGTAGTGTTGTCCATGGCCTATAGTGCCAATTAGGGCCACACAGATGTCAGGGGTCTGGCCACCACCTAGGGCCATGTTAGTGTCTGAGGGTTGAACCTCTGCCAGGGCCATGCAGACCTGAGTAGCCTGTGCTGCCACCCAGGGTCATGGTGTCATCCAGACCTGGGCTGATGCCAGGGGCCATGTCCGGGTCCATGGCCCTGCCACAGTCACAGTCTGTGTTGATGTCTGAGTGGCTCCTGTTACCACTGAAAGCAGTGAGGATAGGCCTGCACAGAGTTGGCCCAGGCCCTCAATAGCTGCAGCTCTAGGGAGAACTGGCCCTGCCCCTCACCAAATGTAGCACTTGGGAGATCAGGCCTTGTACCTCCTCAGGGCAGCACAGTAGGACTGTCCCTGCTGGCATGGGTGCAGGTGAGCTGGCCCTGAAGACACGAGAGCGGGGAAGCTAGTCCCACGGTCTGTCACATGGTGGCACGGGTAAGGGAAAGATAACCCCCTTGCCTCTCACCCTTTGCCACCTGCTGCTGGTGGGAAAAGCTGGTCCCCGGGTCACGAGTGGGAGAGCTGATCCTGCCCCTTACCAGATGCAGCACCCAAGAGAATGAGCCCTGCACCTAGCCCAGGCAGCACAATAGAGCTGACCCCATTGATGGGGGCAGAAGAGATCTGGTGCCTCAAACTTGCATGGGAGATCTGGCCTCACCCTCCATCTGCCATATGGTAGTGGAAAAGAGATGACCTCTCCCCTCCCCCGCCACTTGCCACCTGTGGCCGGTAGTAGAGCTGGCACTGAGGTCATGAGAGTGGGAGAACTGGCCTCCACCACCAGCTGAAGCACTCAGGAAAGCGGCCCTGCACCTCCCCTGGGCAGCCCAATAGAGCTAACCTTGTTGGTGGGGGTGCAGGTGAGCTGGCCCAGCGGTTATGAGAGCAGGATTGACTCTGCCCCCCTCATCTGCCATGTGGTGGCATGGGTGAGAAAAAAAGCCCTCCTTCTCCTCGACCCTTGCCACCTGTGGCAGGTGAGAGAGCTGGTCCTGGAGCCATGAGAGGAAAGAGCTGGTCCTGCTCTGCACTAGCTGCAGCACACAGGAAAGTGGGCACAGCACCTCACCTGGGCAGCACACTAGAGCCGAGCCTGTTGGTGGAGACACAGATGAAATGGGCCTGTGGGTGAGAGCAGGAAATCTGCCCCCACCCTCTCCCTCATATACCTTGGGGTGGCAAGGGTAAGGGAAATGTGCTCCCTGCTCTGCCCACTACACCTGTGACAGGCAGGAGAGCTGGCCTCAGGGGCATGAGAACAAGAACAGAAGAGCTGGCCCTGCCTCTCACCAAGTGGAGCAATCCGGAGAGTGGGCCCTGCCCCTTGCCTGGGCAAAGCAATAAGCTAGCCCTGGGGGTTGAGTATGGGTGAGCTAGACCCAATGGTGTGAGAGCAGAACTGGCCTCACTCCTTTCTGTCTGCTACATTGGGTGAGCTAGCCGGGGACAGTGCTAGAGAGCTCACCTGGGTGGCGATGATGAGGGAAAGCTGTCGGGCTGACCAACCCAGCTACCACCTTGCCCAGAAGCAGCACTACAAGGTAACCCACAAGGTAACCCACCCCAACATCCACCTCATCTATGAACTGCAGGAGCATGTGAAGGGGCTGGACCTGCAGAACCAAAGCTACAGGATCTCCATGACACAGGGCAACAATAAGATATCCTAGAGGAGTCCCTGTGAGGGCCCAGTATCGATAGTGTAGCAGAAGCCAGATTCCTCAGACCAGACCAATGACTCATAGCAATGAACACTTAAAAGTAAAGATGTATGGACTAAAGGGCTTACTGTGTGACTCACTGGGCCACTCTACAGCTTCCATGAGATTTTTTAATTTTGATTTTTGTTTTGTTTTTTGTTTTTACTTTTAAATTTTGGTTTTTTTTGGGGGGGTGGAAGTGAGGGGACAGGGAGATGAGTGGAATCAGGATGCATGATGTGAAGTCCACAAAGAATCAATAAAAAGTTAAAAAAAAAATCCAGGGTTACTAAGGAAGTCTTCATAGACAATACAGGAATCTAGTTCTTACTAATCTTTTCTTCTGGGAGTTACAGTGGGAAGACATAGAAGGAGAGTAACATCTTTGCTCTAATTCTTCTCTTAGCTAAAGAATAACAACCAGCTACAGCCCTCAATACCTAATCATAGAGCAAAGATTAGTAGCGAGAAATCATCGGTGAGCAGGAAAGTAGCCTTGAACCTGAGAAAGGAAGAGCACAGCCTAGTACTTATTGCCGAGAGGTAGGCATTTAAATAAGTGTGACAGGATCTAGCCCTTGATAGAAATTAGGGGTGTTTTCATTTTTTATTTTGTTTTGCTTTTTGAGACAGGGTTTCGTATGTATCCCAGGCTGGCCTTCAACTGTGAGCCTTCTGCTTCTGCCTTTTGAATGCTGGGATAACAACCTGACAAGCTGATTATTTTCTATATTGTAGGAAATACTTAAAACAGAGTTTCAAAAGCTAACATCTGTAAAACAGTCGAACATCCTTCTAGGCTACACCATCTGCCTTTGACAAGCACGGTTGAATGATCTTATGGTACCATAGAACAAAAGACAAAGATATATACACACACATATATAACCTCAAATTGACAAAGTAAAACAAAATCTCATGGTGAGTGGGGTTTCTAAACCTACTGTGCATTTTATACTGTCCCCTTCTACATGACTATGATCTTTAAATTTACTGTAACTAGTGAAAAATATTCAATTAAGCAAATACAGTTGGTCAAGATAAAGTAACTCGTGGTTCCACTCGATCTTCATCTGGAAGGTGAACCCACTTATATGTTAGACTGAGGGTTTCTCCTTACTCCTTCAGAAAACATTTCAGTTGTTCCTGTAGGTGATAAATCTGTAAGGAGAGAGAGGTAGAGAAACATTACAAAAGCTATATGAACTTTTTCTGGTATTCCAAACTTTATTTTTAAAAACATCCTTCATTACAATTTCAAAAATATGATAAAGATCTTTTTACCATATGAAAGAAATGATAAACATGTACGACAGGACAAACCCATTTTAAGAATATTCAAAAGGTTAAAAGGTAATAATATCCTTAGGCATTTGTCCAACTTTTAAGATATAACATAACAGTCAGGTAGTTTATTTCAAGGTTATTAAGGCTGCATAAATCACCCACATTTATACCTTAATTCCTCTACTTCGGATCAACCAAGATGTGAAGAAACACAGGTAGTTTAACACAGGAAAAACTGTCTGACTAACTAGTATTTCCGCCTGGCCTCCTAAATATTCAACTTGAGATGGTGCCGAGTCAGTGCTCCTTGGATTGTCCCCCACACGTACTACGATTATTCTCTACCTCTTTCGTAAACACAAATCTAAACGTTCTTTGAACAGAACATATTATTGAGATACGGCCTCTGATATTTAAAATCCCCGGTTCATATGCAGATGAACTTTCAATGAGAATGACCCAAATCTTAAAAAAAGGTTAAGAAGGTAAAGGATTCTACTTAGAGTGGTCAGTCCCTAGATACAACTCATAAGCACAGAACTGCAGCTCATCCACAAAAGGTTTTCTAATTTTGACCTGTAGCCAGTATTCAAAACAATCTCCAAATAAATCAAAACCCTAAACTGACACACAAAGAAAAAGAAACAAACAAACAAACAAAAACCTCTCAACATGATAGAATTCCTCACTGCTTCAGATCACAAACCAGAGGAAAACAGGGAACAGGTTATCTGCAATACTAAAATGTACTACTTCATCTAGTATTTACTTATATAGACCAAAGTAATTGTTTACTTGGCATTTTTGAGATCATCTTAGTTTTCTCAACATCCCAAAGAGCAGTCACACTATCAAGAACTCAAGCACAATGCTGTGACCATAATGTCTTTTATTATACCAGACTTATAAAGGGAAGCTTAAAATTGAATATGCTCCAAAACTGAATAGGTTTACTGTTAAGAATCTAGACTTCTATGAAAAAATATACAGAGGTCACAGCTCACAGTAAAAGAAAAGAGAATATCACTGTAGTCATTTTGTAAGAGTCAGATGATAATGCCGGGCGGTGGTGGCACACGCCTTTAATCCCAGCACTCGGGAGGCAGAGCCAAGCGGATCTCTGTGAGTTCGAGGCCAGCCTGGGCTACCAAGTGAGTCCCAGGAAAGGCGCAAAGCTACACAGAGAAACCCTGTCTCGAAAAACCAAAAAAAAAAAAAAAAAAAAAAAAAAAGAGTCAGATGATAAAGCAATTGGGATATTTTCTCAAAATGAACTTATGCTAAGTTTTTTAATAAAATTTTTATGATTATAATTACATCATTTATCCCTCTTTCCTCCTTCCAGTCCCCCTCCCTCCCATGTATATCATGTAACACACACACACATATTCCTAAATATATCGATCAACCTGCTCAGCGTCTATGTTACCTGTATGTACATGCTTTCAGGACTGACCATTTAGTACTATGACACTAAGATAACCAACTGGGGTGCTCTCCCTGGGGAAGACAATTTCTCCTGCTCTCAGCATTCCTTAGCTGCCTCTAGTGCTTTTTCTAGGGTTGAGGCCTGTGAGGCTTTGCCAAGTTTTTTTTTTTTTTTTTTACAACTTTAAAATGTTATGTATGGGTAGGGGATGCACACATGCCACAGTAAACACACTGTAGAGAGGGGACAACATGCTGGAGTCAGTTCTCTCCTTCCACCATGTAGATCCTAGGAGTCAAGTTTAGGTTGTAAGGCTCATTAGGAAGTGCCTTTACAAGTTGAGACATCTTGCTTCAAAAGGTTTTGTTAGAGTCTACTAATTTTACATACTGAGGGTTGCATTGCAGTATTTTCATACATGTACATACTGTATTTGTACTCCCCTCCTCCTTGCCCCGCTCCCTCTAGTGAATCTCCTCCCTATTCCCAACTAGCACCACTCCTATGTCATGTCTTTCTGACCCAGTGGTTTCATTAGGGTTCTTTATAGTAGCATGTGTACATTACGAGAAAAAAGTGTCTCTACTTCCCCCATCAAATGTTCTAGGTAAATCCTCAGGGATAGGTGAGACCCTTCCGTGACAAGCTATCGACAGGCCCAACTGCAACAACTGTGTCATGTCCAGAAGTCAGTATCCTATACCAACCTCCCCGCTCCGCTTTCTCTCGACTGTTACATTTTCTGTCCCTTCTTCCATGATGTTCCCAGAGTCTTGGGGAGGGTGTTATGGATGTTCCCATTATGGTTGGGCATTCAATAGTAATTTAGTCTCTGGACTTTGCCCAGTTAATGAGACTCTGCCTTCACCACTGATGACTAATGCTGAATCACCACTAACTGACCACTGGTGCCAAGTTTCATTTGCTGCTCCTTGCCAGGTTACAGGACAATTTAGCAATTCAGAGTCCTGACCAATCAGCATCTTATATTCTACTCATGCTTTCTAAGTCAGATGTACAGGATCTAATATTTTAAAAACTTGAAATGGTAAAATGCATGCACGCACACACACATACACATACCCTCTTCCTCCTCTTCAGTGAGAAGGGGAGGGAAGGAGATATGAAGGACAATCGTGGAGGCACAAGGTGTAATAATATATGTATGCATATGGTAAATGTCATATGAAACCCATTATTTTGTATACTAAAACAATTTTTAAAGTTTTTTTAAAGATTAAAAGAAAAAAAAATCCCTAACCTCTCATGAGTTTCCCCAACTGAAGTCAGAGACAAACTCCCTTCAGAACTTAGCTTAAATTAGGCACCAAATAAATTTTTAGTGAGTAAAGTTTACAACTACATTTCTGTGTTGGAAATGGCAGTTCTCGATACCAACTACTGAACATGGATGAAAACAATATAATCTTCGAACAACAAACTGGTTGTCTGGTTTGCTGAGAAGAAAGAAAGGCACAAACTGTAAGAATGCCTCTGGCCTTGTAGAAATAGGGGCAATGAGCAATACCTTTACCATAAGAGCCTCATAATATAAACTCCAGACTCTTTCAAGCTGTTACCTGCAGGACTGTATAGTGAGAACTATGCATACTATCTATATAGCTTCATAAGCTTAACTCATTTCACATTTTTCTCCCTTCGTTTCCCACTGGAAACTCTTCTGTGGCTTTGAATAACAGTCACTCAAGTTAGAAACCTGACATACCTCTTTTAATACTTTCTTTTCCTGCATCACCCTTTAACTGTCCTATCAATCCTTTAAAAATATATCCTCTCATATGTAAATGGTCACAGCAATATTATTTGTAATACTCAAAGAGCAGAAACAAATGAAATGCCTATCATCAGAAGAATAGTTAAATAAAATGTGGTTTATAAGTTCTTCTGAGACAACTTTTAGGTCCGGTGTAGCCTGTGGCCTTGGTTGTTAATGAGATAGTTCAAAGATTCATCAAAAATGTCTGGGTCTTAGGCTAGCTAGATGACTCAGAATTTAAAAATGCTTGCTGCACAAGCCTGAAAACTTGAGTTTGATCCTAGGGTCCATATGATGCAGACAGCCCATTCCCACCAGTTGTCCTATGATCTCCAAACACATGGCGCACACATATATTTATAAAATAAAAAATTTAAATAAAAGTTTAAGCTAGGTCTGATTTTCCTGCTTCATACTCAGCAAGGAATTTCTTAAACCCACTTAAAACTAAAACCCATCTTTCCTATCCTAGCCTACTGTCAAGTGATGTAACTTCGGCTTTATTTTCTGATCTTATTGTAAAAAACTCTCTTCATGGCTTTAAATGACTCACAGATCATCAAGTTCTCTTCCTGTGTGAGAACTTGACTATTCTCTTCCCAAGGGGCTCACCCTACTGTTAGACTTCTCTTCCAATGTAGGCATAAATATAATTTCCTCGGGGAGGTTTGCCATGTTCTTGTAATTTAATCCAGGATTCTCCTTATTCTAATGGGAATACTGACTTTTTTCCCTTCATAGAGCTTCTTTGGGATTTGTACTTCAATATTTATATGATAATTGTTTACCATCAATCTCCCCTGGAAGACCATTAGCTCTATGAGGACAAGTATTTTATCTATCTTACTCAACACCCTTTATCCAGTGTTTTTCACTCCAGAGGTATTCAATAACTGTTAAATGAACAGATTTGCAAAAAGACCTTGATCCACCCTGCTATTCTCACTCAGAATATATGTTTACCACTATTCTTATAAGACACACAGCCCGAAATTAGGTTAGAGGTGGGTGAGTTCTTCATAGCAAATTATTTATTTAAAAACATACTTCTTACCTCCTCACACTTTTGTTTTTCCAATATGTTAAGCTGCTCCAAAACATACTGGAAATGCCTCTGGAAAAAATAAATTGTATCAGTGATGAAAGATGTATCTTAAAGGAAGAGAGAGCCACAGAACACAGTTTGTCACGTATTTGATAAGAAATCTGTCAATTATAGGAAGAACACACTTTTTAGAAAAACTGGAGCACAAAACTTCTGCCTAACAATCCAATCTTATTTTATGTACTCGCCACAGCATTTTTTCTTGTCCTAAAATAAATGGGTGAAGTGTCTACATGCTACATTTTCCCTGGTGTTGTACAAATCCTCCATTCCCCCTCACCAGAACAGAACATTACTACTCCTAATACTACATACAATAACACATATATGTAAATTACACATATATCACAATAGTATCAGACATCTGAATCTTTTAAGATGTATCTATACCTATTATCTTGGGCTATTCTAAAGGACTACAGCCAAAGTGGATATAGCTCTATGCCACGCTGCTTCCCTTTGACAACTACTGCTCCACAAAAAAATGAAATCTAGCAAAGGGCTCTCTTAGTGCTTTACAATCACCTTACTACCAAGATGGGAGCAAATGTGGCTTAACAATCTGTTTTCCTTTCACTGAAACTCAGAAAAATGTATCCATAAAAATAAAATAATTCCTTCACATTTCATCATATATGATAAGAATTTTAAATAATTTGCTCCTTTTTTACTGAAATAAATGTATTTTGGTATAAACAACAGGTTTATTCTATGTATTGCAAATTACTATGGTTCCTCTTGGAATTTTAATTCTATTTTCCTTTTTCTTTTCTTTTTTTTTTTGATACAAGATCTTATTGTGTAGACCTGGCTAATCTGGAACCTGTTATATAGACCAGGTTGTTCTCAAATTCATAGAGAACCACCTCTGCCTTCCCAGTACTGGCGATAAAAGGCATGTGCCACACGCCCAGCTAGTTTTAATTCATTATAGAGTGGGAATGGTGACAGTATCTAGGTTTCAGGGACCTGAGGATTAAATGAAACAATAATACATAACTCTTTTAGGCACTGTTTGTTTAGTAAATGCTCAATATTGGTCATTATCTCAGGTCACCTGGTCCCCTCCCCATAAAAATGCTTAGATTATAAAAATTACTCAGATATAATAAAACAAGGATGTTCTTAGTGGATGTTTCTTAGAAGTTATTTAGGTTTATGAATGAACTACACAGTGATGACATGAGTGGAAACAGAGATGGAATTTTGAAAGTAGTACATCAGGATGTCTAACAGCCAAAAAGAACTTACCTTAAGGGTCAAGTTTTCCACATTCCTAAGGAGGTCTTTCTGTCGTTGGGCTTTCTTATAAACCTGTTGAAGCTTTTTTTCTTTGTAATAAATCAGTTTCTGAATTCCTGTGACTGAAAGAGGGAGAGAAAGGATTTTTGTATATAAATAGAGCTTTAAATAATGGATCAAGAGTTCGAGGCCAACCTGATCTACAGAGCAAGATCCAGGACAGGCACCAAAACTACACAGAGAAAGCCTGTCTTGAAAAACAAAATAAATAAATAAATAAATAAATAATGGACCACGTCACAAATCAAGTGGAACTCTAAGGACAAAAGACTTCTGAAAACTAAGCATTGCACATAATGCACACAATTGCACATAATGCATGTTCAAAGTTAGCCTTTTTTACCACCACCCAGCCTCCCTGATTCCTCTGTCTTTCCTCTGGCTTACTTATTGAACTGTAATCATAGTCTTTGTTTGCTTCTTCGGAGCTAGATTGAATAAATTTGGCTTGCAGCTCCCTTTCTAATTCTTCTTCCCAACTGTCTATCTTCTTTTCTTCTTCCTCTTCATCCTCTTCATCGTCGTCGTCGTCATCATCATCACTCTCCTCTCCATCATCCTCCTCAGCTTCAATTTTATCAGCCTTATCTTCCACATCATTACTGTTACTGCGAGAATCAGCAAACATCTCTCGAAGCATATCATAGTCTATTGATTTTAAGCAAGGGAAAAATGAAGCAATCTCAAGCTTTGGAAATAACCGTAACCCCAAATAGAAGTATATGCCTTACTATGTAATTCACTGGGCAACCAGTGAATTTTATAAAATTATTTTCCTATGGGAAGATTATTCCCTTTGTAAAATAAGAACAAGGAATATGAAACACTAACATTCATCTGTATTTAATTATCAAGATATCTAGAGAATCTAAGGGCCCATAGGAAGTTGAATACCAGGGTATCTAGGACATTAGAATTCCAATCTAAAACCCTAAAAGCACAGAAGGACCAATGAAGAAGAAGAACAAAAGCATCTTTTTTCTGTGATTGGTCTGTGAGTCTGTGGCCCCGTTACACAATTAACACTTGCCCTTATCCGAAGCTCTTCCTCTGTTTTTGATAAAGTACCTGATGAGGGAGGGCCACTCATTTGTGGGGTTCCTGAAATGCCTGAGATGCATCCTTGACTTTCTATTTCCTTGGTTTCATCATCAGCAATGACTTCCCAGCCTGAAAGTACAGCAGTCAAGGAAAAAGCAGAAGAGAGAGAACACACCATTGAAAGGGAAGTGGCTCTTTAACTAAGAGTGCTCTTAGTACTTGATTTAGATCGTTGTATCTGCATTCCTAGTGTGGAAAACTGCCTTATGTTAAATTACAAACATAAATACACTTCGATTGTCTGTCTGTATTTACCATTTCTAGCTAGAAAATAACATTTCAAAAATCTTCAAGTTATACACATCAACCAGGCACTCAAACATTACAAGTGAGGACTAAGCATGCTGCTCAGTGGTGCAGGGCTTACCTAGTGTAGTAAGGCTCTGAATTTGATCCCCAACATCTTAACCAAAAGCAAAAACACCAACCAGAGGTGCAATTTGTCAGAACATGCACATGAGATTAAACAGACTACAGGGAAACATTTGATATAAAGGATACGGACACTGATGGCTTCAGCATCTGAGCAGAGCAGTCTCTTCATTTCTTTTTCCACATTTGGAGATTCAGTGTACTAAAGCAAAGCATGGAAGGAAACACCAGGAATGTCACTGAGCACTCAGTTTTATTAAATACCTTTTTCCTATATATTAATGAACTGAAATGACTGGGCCTTGTTAGATGCTCATCCAACAAAAGTTCTACTTAAATAGTGCTATTTATGAAGAAATCGATCCAAAATCTGTATTTTTGCATAGCAAGCTCATTTTTTCAAATTAAATCACTTGAAATATTTAATCGTATCTGTCTATAACTCTATGGAAAAGATTTTCAACATTCATGTTTTATTATTTGCCTTGACTCATTGGCAAAGAACAATAATTGCATGTTAGTTACTTATGAATAATTTGGCTTAAAATCCAAATTCCCAGACTTCATTTTTCCATCTTTATTATTAAAATGTTCCTGCCAGGCGGTGGTGGCGCACGCCTTTGATCGCAGCACTCGGGAGGCAGAGCCAGGTGGATCTCTGTGAGTTCGAGGCCAGCCTGGGCTACCAAGTGAGTTCCAGGAAAGGCGCAAAGCTACACAGAGAAACCCTGTCTCAAAAAACCAAAAAAAAAAAAAAGAAAAAAAAATGTTCCTACAAAAATTAGATCCTATCTACATGTTCTCACTTGAATACAGTTTTAAACAATTACTCCACAGCAATTAATTCCTCACGACACAAATATAAATCAAGGCTTTTGATGAGAAGTCCCATTAGTTCAAGCAATTGTTAGTAAATTGATCCCTGGACTCCAAGGAATGGCTTTTGAAATGAAAATAAGGGGGTAAAAGCAGTTTGCAATGCATGGCAACACTAGCAAAACTCTTAATCTTTTACCCTAGAAGTTGTTATTGGACATTAAATAATTATTTCCCAGTGAATAAAATCCAGTGTGCATATGTATATATGTTTATATAAAGCATAGAAAAGTAAACAATGAAGATTATGAGCACTGCTGTACCTCACTGAAGCCGACTTCATCCATTTGTTTGACACTGGGGAGCTATGAAGTAAAGCACAACAAGGAACAACGTTATATTTTCATTTTTCTACTTAAGTCAAGCTTAAAGAGCTCTACAACGATGTCTAACGGCTTTTACATTTAGTAGACAATAAATTTCACTGACTAGCAGGTTATTAAGCCAAAGTTAACACATAAATTAGGAAAGTTGATCTACAATTTTAACATGGTTTCTTTCAAAATTCTGATGTTTTCTGTATATATATACAAGTTTATTCTAAAATTCATATGGAAGGATACTGATTCTAAGATTTTTTTTTTTTTTTTCGAGACAGGGTTTCTCTGTGTAGCTTTGCGCCTTTCCTGGAACTCACTTGGTAGCCCAGGCTGGCCTCGAACTCACAGAGATCCGCCTGGCTCTGCCTCCCGAGTGCTGGGATTAAAGGCGTGCGCCACCACCACCCGGCTGATTCTAAGATTTTTAAAACAATATTGAAGCAAACGAAGTGGTAGCAATCAATCTTCTGATTTCAAGACTTACCACATTATAGTATCTGCAGAAGGATTGACACATGGATCAGTGGAACAGAATAAAGAACCCATAAACAGTACCATACAAATATTCCCAAGGAAGAGGTGGAGGAGGAGAGGGAGAGAGTAGAGGACGAAGAAAGGGAGAAGGGGAATCTTGAATTAAAACTCACATTTTATAAAACTGAAATATGGATTTCAGGCATAAGTATAAAATCTTCAGTATCTAGGCTAAGCAACAACAAAAAAGTAAAATCCTTAGGACAAAAACATCAATAAATTCAGCCTCATCAAAACGAAAAATCTTGCTGTCTACAAGTGCTTGTGAAGAGGACTAAAAACTCAAGCTACCAGCTATGAGAAGGTACTAATAAACTATGCATATATGATGAAAGACTGGTATACAGAACAGAAAAAGAACTCTTGGAATTTAACAACAAAAAGTCATTTTAGAAAATGGGTAAAAGAAGCTCGGTGTCATGGTGCATGTTTGCAATCCCAGCATTCAGACACTGAGGCAGAATCATTGCTGTGAATTCAAGGCCATAATCTATCCAAATTAATTCCACATGAAAATCACTACACACTTATAAGAATGGCTAAAATAAAATAAAATGACAGGTGAGGAGGTGGAGAATTTGTATCATCCATACACTATCACTGTTAATATAAAATGATAGTTCTCTGAAAACAGTATGGCAGTATCTTATAAAACTAAAAATACGCCGGGCGGTGGTGGCGCATGCCTTTAATCCCAGCACTCGGGAGGCAGAGGCAGGCGGATCTCTGCGAGTTCGAGGCCAGCCTGGGCTACCAAGTGAGTCCCAGGAAAGGCGCAAAGCTACAGAGAAACCCTGCCTCGAAAAACCAAAAAACTAAAAATACTTGTGGCTAGTGAAGTGGCTCAGCATTAATATGCTTGCTATCAATCCTGATGACCTGAATTTGATACTTAGAATTCTCAAGTTTTCCTGTGAGCTCCATTTGTTGCACACATGCATGCACACACACTAAATGAATGTAAATAAATTTTTTTGAGACAGGGTTTCTCTGTGTAACAGCCCTGGCTGTCCTGGAACTCGCTTTGTAGACCAGGCTAGCCTCGAACTCACAGAGATCTGCCTGGCTGGGATTAAAGGTATGCGCCACCACCGCCTGGCTGAATGTAAATAAATTTTAAAAGCTAAAGTTTGGCAAGTGACATGCCTCAGGTGGTAAAGGGTTTGCTTAATTGTGAACTAAGCTCTGGGATTAATCCTTAGCAACATATAAAACAAGGTGTGGTGATAAATTCCTGTAACGCTAGCACTTGAGAGGTGGTGGCACAAAAAAGTTCATCTGTGACCACACAGCAAGTTCAATGCTAGCCTGGACTACATGAGAAAGACCCTGTCTCAAAAATATTTGTACAAACCTGCCACTTGTGGGGGCTATAGAGATGGATCAGTGGTTAAGAGAACTTGTTGTTCTTACAGAGGACCACTTTATGGTGGCTCACAACCATCCTTAACTCAAGTTCCAGACAATCCAATAGGCACACGCGGTACACAAATGTGCATGCAGGCAAAGCATTCATAGACATTATGTAAAATGAATAAAAATCTAAAAAATATTTTAAAATATGCCACTATCATATGATTCAGCATTATTCCTGAGCATTTATCCTAGAGGAATTAGGATTTGAGTTCACACAAAAACCTACTCACACCCTTATTTATAATTGTCAAAAACTGGAAACAATACAGTTATGTTTTAATGGGTAAACAGTTAAACGCATTGGTTATATTCACACGATGAAATGCAATTCAGCAATAAAAAAGAACTATTGATACATGTTATTCTTAGATGCTATACTGTATGTTCAAATTTATTTAATGTCATAAAAATAACAAAACTACAGAGATAAAGAAAAGATTTTGAATTGCTAGGCACTAAAGATCGAGAGTGTAAAGCAGGAAGAAAGTATAAGTAGTTACAAAAGGACAAATATGAGAATTTTTGTGGTGATGGAACTGTTTAACAACTTGACAATGTAGGTGGGTCATGAATCTAGCCATGTAGCAAAACTGCATAGAACTAAATATATATACAAATATATAAGTATAGGTAGATGAGAAATTTCATTAAGATTGGTGAATTGCGCTGGGCGGTGGTGGCGCATGCCTTTAATCCCAGCACTCGGGAAGCAGAGGCAGGCAGATCTCTGTGAGTTCAAGGCCAGCCTGGTCTCCAAAGCGAGTTCCAGGAAAGGCGCAAAGCTACACAGAGAAACCCTGTCTTGAAAAACCAAAAAAAAAAAAAAAAAAAAAAAGATTGGTGAATTGCAATAATGATAATTTCATTTGTGATATCATTCTCTTGTTTTGTAAAATGCTACAAAGGGGTAAAGTGGATAAAGAGTACATGCTAAACTTCTATTTATTCCAATTGCATATGAATATCTGATTATTTCAATGTTTTTCATTGAATTTTTTAAATGAGTCCAAGGTACTGTACTCTTCCTGTAGCTCACCTGAAGTAAGGTTACAGATTTAAGCAGAATTCCTACTTTATCTGGTCCTAGATGAGTTCAATTTAAAACTTGATCTTTTTTAGAAAAAAAATCTCACTGTGTATCCCTAGCTAGCCTAATACTGATGACGCAGCCCAAGGTGTCTCCCAACTGAAGGAAATCCTCTTTCTTCAGCTTCTCAAATGCTGAGATCACAGGTCTTAACATGCCTGGCTTTAAATCTATAGCAGTCGAAAGCTAAAAGCATGAGTTGAAATATCAAATTCATGATTCTTCTAAATCCCTATGACCTAAAGAACTGGGTCTATTTTCATTCACTGTTGTAGTCACAACTGCTAGCTCATAATTCTGTGGATTGTGCATATTCTTCATTTTTTTCATTTTTGAGACAAGGTCTCATTCTGTAGCCAGGGATTGTCTCTAACTCATGATCCTTCCACTTTAGCATCCAGGTGCTGAGATTACAGGTAGGTACCACCACATCAGGTAGGCATTCTTTATTGGACATACAAGTGAATCAATGAATTCCCAACTGACTTCCTACCTTTCTTTCTCCCTCATAGTCCTCTCCTAATTCACCCTGCAGAAACACAAGTAGCATGAGACTAACCTTTTTTGCTGTTTTCCGGAACCTTTTCTTTTTGACATTCTTAAGTGGTGGAGTAACTAAAATAAAAACATGATGAAATATACCATATGACTGATGACTGTCCTATATCTACATGAATTTGATAAAGAAATGTGTCATGCTCATGGTATGACTTCTTTCTTTAAACATAAGAGGTTAATAAACCAGGTAAGAGGTCCCTGATTCATAGGGATTTGCAATTCAATAGATAAAAATGTAGTCAGGCAAAAGGAGCAAGGGATCAGTGACTTACTGCCATGCTTCCAGTTATATTTTTTTTTCTGTGTCTTCCCTTCACCTTTTCCAGTTACAGGAGAATCAGTAGAAGCAACTGGTTCTTCCGGGGAAGGACGAGGCTCACTATCAGAACTGCATACAAGCATCTATATTTAGCAAAGACAAAGAAGTTTACTACTGCCTCAAATATTGGTTAATAATAAATCATGGGCATACCACCAGACATGTGGAGCACAAATGATTCTTGGAATTTCCCAAAACCAAGTACATGTAATATACCTTCAGGTTCTTTAATATATCCCTTTTCCATCCTCTCTTCCTCCCCTCTCTCCCTCTTCTCTCTCCTTGAAGCATGATATGTAGATTTGACTTTTACCTAGTGTTTACCCCTGCAGAAGCAATATCATGAAATGCATACGTTTTAGCATTACGATTTAGAGAGGCAATCAGAAAGCACCAATAGAGATAAGTAAATAAGTTTCTTTAGAGTTAACACACTGCTATAGTACAAAGTGCAGAAAAAGACCTTAGCCATTTATATTTTTAATTAATGAAAGTCACTATAAATAGCAAACAAGAGAGCAGGAATCTGTAAAAGTAAAGAAAAAAAAATTAAGTATCAGATATCAAACCAGAACATGACATTATGTTCCCCTGCAATTGATCTGGTGATTATAAATGGTAAATAGCCATTTAAAATTGGAACAGAATACTGGCAGAAAGACTGAAGATTCCACCAAGGGTATGAGAACTAGAAGGTTAAGAAAATCAACCCAGTGGGGGTGATATAGCTCAATGGTAGGTAGAGCACTTGCCTAGCATGCATGAGGCCCTGGTTCTCAGCACTTAAAAAAAAGGTTTTGTGGATCTGGAAATATCACTCAGTTGGTAGAATGTCTGTCTAACATGCACAAAGCCCTAGGTTTGGTCCTCAGCACAATTTAACAGTCAAGAAAGGCATGTCCGTACGCACAGCAGCACCTGATAGTTGAAGAAAGAAGGATTAGAAGATTAAAGTCATCCTCAGCACCATACTGAGTTTGAGGCTATCCTGGGATATATGAAACCATGTCTCAAAAAAATTCATACCTGAGAAATATCTGCTGTTTTATAAAATGTTTTTCTATCAACAGTTTTCAGGCTTTCGACGACACAAGGCAAATTAACCAGCTTAGCAGACAGTGAGACATCTTCTACCTGAACAACTGCATTACGTCCATCAGCTAAAGGAAAGTAGATAAAATTAATATTGACATTCCAATGGACTGTTCAGTCTCCAAGAATCTGAATAATGAAGACTTATGCGGGACAGACAAGTTCTTTGATAAAACTTACTATTTTTGAAAGTCTAGAAATCAATATTCAATTAGTAACTTCCAGAAAGAGAAGAGAGTATCTATAGCTTGTTTTTACATATTGTATGTTACTAGTTCAAAAATATGTTTCTTTCCAATGGTTGCAAAGGTGAGAAAGACAGCAAGCAACTGTTTTCTTGTTATCACCAAAAGCAAATTTCATTCATTTAAACACATTCCTTAAAAAAGAAGGAAAGCATTCGATTGTAACATTGTATGTTTTCTAAAGGCTGGAATGCCTAGTATAGTGCCTGGCACATACCAATATATAGCAAATTATTGTTTAATATATTAATTTAATATTTAATATATTGATATTAACTACTTACAAGAAAAGTCGATTTTTAGTTTATCCTTCATGGCAGCACCTCTAGAATGTATCATCTTCCTGACAGTATAAGCATGTTCCTAAAAAGGAGGCAAATTAAAAATCAGAAGGATTGTCTAAGAGTTTTCCTTAAATAAAACCTTACATTTCCCAAATGTTAACTATGCTATGTACTGTGAGAGCCCATGCATTGTATAAATCAAGTCAAATGAATTCAACTCAAATTTCATCTTTATCTTTTAGGAACTACACTTGGTGCCTTCGCCCAGCTTTTCAGTTCTACTTCTTACTGCTTAGTCTTCCATTGTAGATGCTAGGGAAAGGCTTTAGCTACAGTTCACTAGATATATTAATGAACTATAACAGATAATAGCTTTCTGACCATCTCTATCATAGCCTCCTAAATGAAGTAATACTTGAATGTGCTTATCAATGAGAATGGATATGAGAGTCAAACCTAATGTTAAAATGAGTTTGACAGCCTTGCTTGGTGATGAATTTGCAGGTGACAGTGGTAGTTCCTCCAACTACCTCTTCTGAGATGACAGAAAGAATTTTAGAACAGTCTTACCTTGGCTGTCCAGAAAATTGGCTGTTAATGTTTGTGATAAATGACTGGATGATCCATAATTGTCATTATCATAGTTGTTTTGACAGGGAATTAACCCACATTATTGATGATATATACAGGAAGAAAGAAATATTGTGAGAAGGATACACACCACAATAGGACTACTTAATAGAACATGAGTTCTGGGAAGCAAATGTTCTGAGTTTTTATAGCCTAAAATGTATGTAAATTTTACCTAAGCAGAACTACACTTTTGCACTGAAGACATTTATTCTGAGATATAAAAGTTACTTACAGGAGGCAGACGCAATATAAACTGTTCCTCAATATCTTGGGGTTCATCACGCATTAAACTCATGGCTTGTTTTTGAGTTCATGAAAACAAAGAAAACAAACAAAGTCACTACAAACGCTTGCTCACTCTGCTGACCATCTCTGATTATATTATACTGGTTATATTTTATTATATTGGTTATAATATACAAGACCTTACCATAATTCTCATTGAAAAGAAGTGTGTACAGTTTAGAAATATTTTATTTGACATCTTGATTTCTAAAAGTCATCATTTCCAAAGTGAATCCAAATTACATGATGTATCTTGATGAACAAATTAATTAAGCTGTTGTGAAACATGATTTAATATTTTTAGTAATATTCTTGTACTGTCAAATAAAGAGCAAACTTCAACTAAGTGGCCTCTGTGGGGTTGAATGCAAACCAAAGAATGAAATCAACCCAGAACCCATATGCAGACATGCTAATTTGAGGTGAACAAATACTTTTCAATATTTCATTTACCCAAATAGACCAATAGTAGTAATTAGGCAGTCCATGGGATACCAAGAAGCTTTTTATGGCTCAACTGCAATGGTTCAGCACTTCCTTGGGAGAAAGGAGTCCCGTGCTTATATATCTTCTATGAGGATATTTAAAATAATCTTAAGATAGATTTGTTTCAGTATCTCATGCATGTTTAGTATATACCCAGCACAAGAGGAATCTTTTTTATTTTAAAAATATATCTTAGGTAAAATGAACAGTCTAATTCAAATTAGAGGGGTTTCAGACCAATTATGTGTACATTATACAGTAAGCTTTTACAGGGTAAAAGTTCTAATTAATGCACAGCCCTCAATACTTTGTAAATCATTAACTGGGATCTGAGTTTTAAATCCAAATCTTTCTTAAAAAGCACTGTAACAGCCAGGCAGTGGTGGTGTATGCCTTTAATTCCAGCACTCAGGAGGCAGAGGCAGGCGGATCTCTGAGTTCAAGGCCAGCCTGGGCTACAGAGTGAGTTCCAGGACAGGCTCCAAAGCTACACAGAGAAACCCTGTCTCGAAAAACAAAACAACAACAACAACAAAAAAACCACTGTAACATTCTTTTAACACATAGGAGTATAGGACTCTCTTAGGGTGGAAACGCACTAGTTAAGATTCAAATCACTTAGTATAAAACTGGGAAAGGGAGGGTTAAATGGGGTGAGAAGAAAGAAAGGTAAGAGCCTGAGGTGCGAGGTGACTACCAGGAAACAGTGTTTTGGACACAACAGGGCAGCTGAACATATGAAATCACAATGATTAGGACAGCATGCTCAAGGCCTGTGCTAGCCAAAGTCCCAGCATGGAATTTGGGGAGATGGGCACAAAGTCCCACCCCTAGCTGAGAAGCTTTGTCATTCTGTAGTTGTTGGGAGAAAGAGAGTCAGTTTTCTTTAATGGTGTGAGCATTGGTGGGCTGAACATATCCCAGGGCAGACCCCATACCCAAGAGTAGGTAGGCAATACAAATTGTACTCCAGTGTTCCTTTAAGAAAAAAAAAGGATATTACAAGGTCTGTAGGAAGGCAAGAGAGGGTCTAGGAGGAGTTGGAGGAGGTATATAAATACGATCAAAATACATTGTGTGGAATTATTAAAAACCAGTAAAATTATTTTTAAAATTAATTCCTTAGTATAACTTTGGAAATTATTAGAAAAATATAGAAAGCACAAAAAAAGGCAGAATAAAAAAGTAAGACATCGAGGAAGGGGCTAGAAAATGCATTATTTTTGATAGTTATTTCTATTTTATTGTTTATAAATATGTATGCACATGTATATAAATAATGAAAAATAAGTATAACAGTGTATATAATCAAAATAATCATATACATATGCAAAATATCAATGAAACCCCTTTGTACAATTAATACACACTTGTGCAAAATTTTAAAGTAAAAAGTAAATGAGGCCGGGCGGCGGTGGCGCATGCCTTTGGTCCCAGCACTCAGGAGGCAGAGCCAGGCCGATCTCTGTGAGTTACAGAGGTCAGCCTGGGCTACAGATTGAGATCCAGGACAGGCACCAAAACTCCATGGAGAAACCCTATCTCAAAAAAAAAGTAAATAATCTTGAGGCTGGGCATACACAAGAGAAAACAAAACACTCCACACTAGGAATACAAACGCAGAATTTAAGGAAAAAGTTGCTAAGCAAGATTTTATCAGATCAGTAGTATCTTTTAAACTTCTCAACAGAACAAGGATTAATTAGGTCATTTCATTCATTTTAATGCCTTTTTGATAATTCCTCTTTTATAGAATAAAAACTTTAGGAACTTAAATTATTTCAAATTATTTTCTTGTTGATAGCCCCAGTAAAAAGGTCTGAAGGGCGAGAAGGTGAAAAACCTAGTTGAAAAGAGATTTAATAGTTTTTTTAAAAAAAAACTGAAAGAACTTTATATTAAAGAAAATGAATCCGCTTTTCCCCCAGAAATATTCATTTTTCTTAATTTGTATTTTTTTAATTCCACAAGGCACTCTTGGATGCCTAATTAAATGAACAAGATCACTGTCCACCCATTCACATCTGGCTTATCTCCCTTCAGCAGAACAACTGGGATGACGCAGCCAGGGAGCTGCAAAAGCCCTTGCTCCACGCAGCACACGCCAGCGCAAACTTGGTCCCGAATTTTTTTTTTTTTTTTTTTTAAAGTTTACAACCACCACGAGCTGCCTTTTGGAGACAGTAACTGTCTGGGTTCCATCTTTTTTTCCTGGGGAAACCGAACAGAAAAGTTCCGCTCCTGCCGCCTCTGCTCATTTGTGCCGAAAACTACCCCTACAAAGCCACAGCCGCCTTCGCACCTCACGGCCAGCCGGGCCGAGGCGCGAGGCTGCCGAGACATCTTCCCACCTTCCCGGGGTCCTCCGACTCACCTGCTGGCCAGGACGCACACGCACACGCACACGCACACGCAAAGAGAGCCCGAGCTGCCACGTGGCCACGCCCAGGCCCCCGTGCCTCGGCCCGCCCCGCCCCCGGGGCCCCCCCGGAAGAGGGCCCCAGGCCTCGAAGCCGCTAGGCCATGTGTGGGCCAGCCCGAGAACTCAGCACGAGAGTTCAGCACGAGAGTTCCTCGGCTGAGTTCCTCGGCTGAACCCGCCAGGGGCCTCCGCAAAGCCCAACCGCTGACTCGCACACCGGCAGGGGGCGCAAACCGAGGCCACCGAGGGGCCGGGAGGTGGGGGGGGCCAACACACATGCACGCGCACGCACGGACTCGCGTGTGTACACACACGCACACACACGTACGCACACACACACACAAAGAAAAAGCAGCGCAAGTGCTTGATCCTCCGATCTGAGACCCTGTCCCTTGGCTAGACCACCTCTGAGTGTCCACTACATCACCCCGTGAGGCCCAAACTGACCGGCCAGGTCTGGGCCCTCCTCCGCGCGGCCGGCCATTACGTCCTGTGAGACAGGCCAGGCTGCGGCCTGCACCCTCTCCCGACAGGTGTCGCACGGCAGAGCACCTTCGAGGCTCCCAAGTCCCCCGGTTCGTTTTGACAAACGAAGCTCGAAAGCCACTCACCTTGCATGGACTTTTCAACAGACCTAACACCAGAAGGCCTGCGGCGGTTTCCCCGGGCCCTGGCCCGATGGACACCGGTTGTCGGTGGGCCTTGAAGCCCTCCGGGAATCACTAGGCCTCGAGCCCGTCCCGAGACCGCTGGGCCTCGAGCCCGTCCGGCAACTTCTGGGCCTTGAAGACCTCCGGGAACCGCCAGGCCTGCGGGAACCGCCAGGCCTGCAGGAACCGCCAGGCCTGCGGGAACCGCCAGGCCTCCGGGAACCGCCAGGCCTCCGGGAACCGCCAGGCCTGCGGGAACCGCCAGGCCTTGAGCGCTGCCAGGAACTTCTGGACCTTGAATGCCGCCTCCGCCGCCGGGAACCTCTGGGCCTCGTGCTCGCCCACGCCCACCGACCGAAGGGCCTCGCCCACGCCCACGCCCCGATGGGCCTCGCCCACGCCCACGCCCCGTGGAGCTTCGCCCACGGCCACGCCCCGCGGAGCCTCGCCCACGGCCACCACGAGCCGCTGGGTCCCCAGCACCTCTGCTGTCAGCTGTGGCCAAAGCGCTTTCAGCACCAAGGCTGACAGCAACTTGGGGTTCCTGGGAGCCCATGTCTCCTGATGTTGAAATGGTTGTTGGAGGGGCTCCCGGAATGTCGGGGCGCCCCGCCTCTGCCAGAGCCCCATCAGCGTCTCCTCCCTCAGCGCGCTCCATGACCCACACTACCTGGGAGGAGGAGTCTGGGGGGGCTCAGGGGTGGGGCTAAAATGGCGTCGAGTTTTGTCACGTGGGGTAGCGGGTTCCAGAACGTTCATGAAATTATGCAAAAATGTATACCCCTTAAAGAGACAGCGACACTAATAAGACGTTTCATTGTCTATCAAAGATTTCTGTGAACTCTCTACTGCTTGCCTTTAATCCCAGCACTCGGGAGGCAGAGGCAGGCGGATCTCTGTGAGTTCGAGGCCAGCCTGGTCTACAGAGTGAGTTCCAGGAAAGGCGCAAAGCTACACAGAGAAACCCTGTCTCGAAAAAAAACAACAAAAAAACCCACAAAAAACCCCCCCAAAAAATTAAACAAAACTTAATTTTAAGGGGTGCTTTTTTGACAGATTTGTACAATCATTTCTTCTAGATACACATTTGATTTTTATGTTCAATAAAGCTACATTATCGGAGCTTTAAACCTTCAAAAAAAGTTTTGGTGAGTTTTGGTATCCACCAGTATACTTTATGATGGCTACTAGAATGCTCAAAACAAAATTTGCAACCTACCTCTAAAATACTGAACCTGGGGCAGGAGAGATGGTTCACCAATTAAGAGCAAAGATTGCTCTTGCAGAGGACCGCAATTCAGCACCCATATCACATTGTGAGAAATTGTCTGCAACTCCAGCTCCATGGGGGGATCTGATGCCCCTAGCCTCCAAGATATCTACATTCATGTGCACACAGACACTCACTAAGAAATATACAATTATGGGCTGGAGATCGGCTCAGTGGTTAAGAGCACTAACTGACTGCTCTTCCCGAGGACCGGGGTTCAATTCCCAGCACCCACATGGCAGATCACAACTGTCTGTAGCTCCACTTCTAGGGGACCTGACACCCTCACACAGACACACATGTAGACAAAACACTAATGCACGTAAAATAAAAATAAATAAATTATTTTTTAAAATACACAAGGGGCTGGAGAGACGGCTCAGCAGTTAAGAGCATTGGCTGCTCCTCTAGAGGTCCTGAGTTCAGTTCCCAGCAACCACATGGTGGCTCACAACCATCTAGAGTG